ACACCGAACTTACGGAGGCTTTGAGCTTGCATCTCCTAGCTACTGCCTGCCAAACATCTTGAAGACGTGACATACTACAAGCATCTGTCACTGCATCCGCCTCTCTGCTGGACTACTTAAGCGACGGGGAAGCGTTCAGGTGATTACACCCATGGGGTGACTTTACACCCTATAATTGTAGTGATGTTTTCCGCAGTTACATTTTTCCATGAAAAATCCAACATGGTAAGGCACAGTTCTGAACCTAGTTTCAGCATAGGCTCCACCATAATTTCCAACAACTGCTTCGGCTCGTCTTGCACCCTGTTCGTCATATTCGCTAGGCTATGTGAGGTAAACTAGTTGGAACTAAAGTGGATTCCAACTGAAGACCTTGGTGTATAGTCACGCTGCATCCTGAGTTGACAGAAGAAGGAAACTGAGAGCCACTGAACTCAAACCCGGCCCCCGGATGGACGACTCACCCTTCATGGCGCATAAACGTCTTGGCTCTGTCCCTGGTTAGGCAGTGGGCGCGTACTGCTGAGAAGCCGTGTACCAGGATGGAACAGCCCTCCAGTACTCTCAAGCTCTCAGTCTTTCTCCAGATGCGATCACCCCATAGTGAATGCCACTTTGGATATAATGCTAGAAGTCTCAATGACTCACGAAGTATATTAAATTCGTTTTTCGGCCAAAAGGTTTATACTCCATTCAGCTTCAATTTCACTGTCTCCCCTCCGCAAACTGAATTCATATGGGATAAATGGCAGGTCATATAGCTGGGTCGTCTCGTCACCGCTGAACAGCACCCTCCCCAGGAGTAGCGCCAGCGGGTAACCCAGGGCTCCTTTCTTGCACCCCCCTCTTTATAATATACATAAATGAATATCCCTTTTTTAAATCATAAATTTGACGTGAGAGAAGCCGGTTTACGGACATCGTCAAATTGATGACGACGAAGAAATCTCTGTTCATTGGGTGGAGCTAGGTGGGCTGCAGCAATGAAAATCGGCAGACTGTGGCGCAACTCGTATCTGACAACGCTGACCTCACCTAGAGTAATGGCCGTCAACTTCGAATCCCGAGAAAATTTTACCAGAGCGCTAGAGACGTGACCTAAAGTCAAACGCACTATAAGCAAGAATGTTTGCTTCTGTGTAAGCAAACCGAGAGCATTGCGACTAAAACTGGAAGCGGCTACTCACAGTGCTCAGGCCGCCATCACCCCGTACCGACAGGTCGACAAGGCTCTCAAACTCCATCTAGTGCTACCTCACTGTCGAACACACTAAGTACCTAGTTGGAGGAGTCTGCAGGTCTCCTAATAGAGACATGGAACGCAATTAAAAATTGCTCTGACTAATATTCACAACGCTGAACGTAGGGTACGACCAGAACCTAATACCTGGGGACTTCAACGCTCCAACCCTCAGCCTAGAGCAGGGAGGCAAGGCTCCAAGCCAGAAGTTTGGTTTGTAATCTTCCAGATGCCATCCAAGTGGCCGAGGTGCACGAAAAAAATCAGCGATAACGCCTGCTGGGGGTCACTTGACAAACCATCTGAACTGGATCACCTAGAGACTAGTGATCATCTTCTAGTTGAGAACGTTCAGGCCCAAACTCCTATCATGCTATCATGCCATGGCAGCTTTCGACCTGGTAACCGGTGAACATCTATCATGGGAGAGATCCCATCCATACTTTTTTTACAACAGGGCAAGCCACAAGGGAAGGAACTAGCGCCTATCGAGAGCTCCACTGTGGGTATTTTGGAGCTCCTTATCGGTCAACCAACACTGGGGACTGGTAAGAAATATCATTAGCACCGCAACCTCGCAAGACGTCCCCTTGATGGCAACAACGTCCAGAATGCGGGTCTCGTGGCTAAAATGAGGCACTGAGCGCCCATTAAAAGCTAAGAGAAAGGTATGGCGTAATTGGAGACTCTTCAGGGAAAGGGACGATCACAACGCATGTGTAGCTCTGCGAAACTGACAGACCATTAGGGCACCGGGAGACAAAAGGTAATTGCAGTTCAACCTCGCCAAGCGGCTTGGGGTGAAACCCAAAAACCTTTGCCATTTCACAGAAAAGAGAAAATCTACAACTCAAGGAGCATGTGTCATAGAAGGTCCGAACGGGGAAAACCTCTCCGGAGAGATCTCTGAAATGTTAAATACCGCCTTTTGACATGGCTCAACATTCTGTTAGGAAAGTACGTATACCAACCTCCCGAACAGCCCCATACTTCATCCGACGCAGAAGAGTTACAAGAAGTACAGATAATGCGCACTGTTGTTCTTGATAAACTATCAAAAGTAAGCTCGGGAAAATCCCGGGAATGTGCGAGTACCCCAAGTAACCCACTTTGCGGTTCCTTTCAGCATTCCTTAGACGAACAAAATTTCTCACGGGAGTGGAAACGGGCCATCCTCTCCCCTATCTTCAAAGGAGGAGACGGGTAGAATCCATATTGTTACAGACTCATGGCACTTCTACGTGTAATGTCAAAAGTTATGAAAAGACTATAGACGACTGCGCTGGGCGGTATCTGGACACAAGGCAAGCACTCAGTGGTGCTCAAGGTGGTTTCCGAAAGGGTAGGTCTGTGCCTCCGACCTCCTTACGGCCCATGATCACTGGACGGCATGTTGAGATCTCAGGCCCCCAATCCAAGCGATTTTCCTGGATTTCGCCGAAGCCTTAGACAGTGTCTCGCACACCATCCTAATAAACAAAACGGCTGGGCTAGGTGTCCGCGGCCAGGTGCTATGGCGGCTGCAGAACTACTGGGGAAATAGGGCACGAAAGTCAACGGGGTCTACTCAACTTGGAGAAAACCATCTTTCGGTATCTCACATGGAGTAATCCTGGGCCCACTCTTGTTCCTACTGCTCATGAATGACCCCTCGCTGGATATCACCTCTCTGATTCTCCTCTGCGCTGATGACATCAAGATATGGAGGGCAGTGACTTAGGAAACGGAATCGAGTGCACTACATTACGACTTTAAAGAAATAGGAAAATGGGCAACAAATAACAAACTCGAATTTAATACGGACAAATGCCAGCCCGTGTTTTTCCGGACTTCTGATCCACAGAAAGCATCCCACTGTCTCTGTGGTTCACATCTGTCTCATGCCGCGGGTTTAATGGTGACGGAGAAACTGGACACCAGCCCAAATTACCTGGGAGATGCCTCTAGAGCATGTGGTGTACTACGCTTTGCGAGTGGACAACTAGGTGCCTTCATCTAAGAGCCCTTTTTGGAGCTCTAGAAGGCTTATACACGACCCCACTTGGAGGTCCATAACGTCTTCACTCCATACCAACGGAAAAGAGGCAGGAACTTGCTGGAGAAAGTTTAGAGGGGAGCCACAAAAACGGTTGTCGGGATGCGACATAAACCACACGCGAATAGAATAAAAAAACTCAGGGCTATACTCGCTTAGCTACCGAAGGTCACGAAGTGACCTCATAATGGCCCACAAAATGCTGAATAACCCAAGTCATCCCAACAGAGGAGTAGTACCAACTGGCCACTATTGTCATTCTCGTGGAAACCCTAAGAGAATTGTCCACCTAGGGCAGAAAGCCCATGTGCGTTCACACTCCTCCCTTTGGGTCTGCTGGAACTGGACTGCATTATCAGCGGAGTTAGTCTCTGCCCCATCTGTTGAAAGTTTCACCAAAGGCAGACAGCCACGCAGAGACTCACGGTATACGCACACTTAGCTGGAATACAAACTAAACAGAAGAAATCAACTACTGTCACCCCATTTCAACTATGCTACCTGAACGCCAGTTCTCTTTCCCCTGCAATCATTTGGGCCCTTTTTATCCCCTCCACTTTCCATAAATTAGCCTTACCTACCTAAGTTCCTCATATCTTTACACCCCGTCGTCTCACTTGGGTGTAAGCAGATTATTCCATTACTCCTCTTTTCTTTTCCTTTTCCTCAAATAACTTAATCTTTCTAAGTTTTCTCTTCATTATCCACAACTTGCTCTAACGATCAGTCCGAACAACCGTCTAGCAACCCGACGTCTGAAGAACCCAACTCGAAGAAGTGTCGAATTGTGATAGTTGACAAACATAAAGGCAGTCCCAGTTCTTTTTCTCTAGGTGAAATAAATATCTGTCACTCTAACATGGAAGAAGATCTGGAAGTTACGCCAAATGATACACTAGGAGCCTCTGTTTACTGTCGCCTTGCAGCCAATACGGCTTGTGGAATCCTGGGCTTTCTCTTGAGAACCTTAGGGTGTCTAACTCCTTCTCTTTTCACCACAGTGTATGCTGTGTATATTCATCCTCATTTATGGGAAAATTCGCCCGTAACGTCCCCATACTTGAAAAAGGACATAGTCATCCTAGAACGGGTACAGAGAAGAGCTACAAAGAAAGTGATTGGGTTACGGCATAAACCGTACCCAGACCGTTTAGTTGCTCTTCAGCTGCACCCAGTACAACACCGGAGGATCAGAGGGGATATGGTCATGTTCTGCCACATCGCCCATAATCCCCTCCATCTCAAGAGATCCCTTCTAAGCTTTAGTCGGAAACGCAACTTGAGGGACCACCCGTTAAGAATAGAGCACGAGAGAGCACGTACAAAGATCCGTGCTAACTCATTTGCAGTTGGAGTCTGTAAACTGTGGAATTCCCTCCCTTCAGCACTTGTTACAGCCCCATCCCCTGATACGTTTAAGAGAAGGCTAGACGCACACCTTGAGTCCTATGGCACCGATGGGCTACACTCGAGAAGCTTTCCCCAGATCAGATGCAGTAATACTAACTTGAGACCAGATTAATTAGTTAATCGTATCTCCATCCTTTCAGGTTTTTCAGAACCGGGAAGATAATTGTGACCATCCCAAACTCAGAACGTATTCAGATAAGACAGACGTAGAACCCAAGGAACCGCAGTTCACTAATTCTACAACACGAAGTTTGAACTGCATTACAGTCCAAAGCAAACAGTTAACCACCTATTTTGCATACCAGGGCTATATCAGACTAGCCATTGGATTTACTGCATTGAAATCTGTCAAAGACCTGGAACGGTTCTACAAGACTGAGAAGCAAGCAAGAACGAATCATCCGGTTTACACAAGATCGTTAGACAATATCGGATATTGAAGCGCGGGGGCTGCAAACATTTCCACTACAAAAAGATGTCACAAGAGGCTACCATCATAGCGTGAGTCATTATGTCCTATTTTGTGTTAATTTTAAAGCTTAGTGTTGACAACAGTGATTACATGAGAAATGGGGACTTCTTTCCATCTCGTCTGCAAGCACAAAATGATGCTGTGAGCTTGATATGTCAGAGTAAACGCCAACGCAATCCAGAAAATACGCTTGGTTTACTATCCCTTGCGAATACGGAAGTACTTTGTACATTAACAAACGATGTGAGCAAAATATACAACCGTTTGCATCTTGTTGAGCCGAAGGGGAGTATTATATTCTGTTCATCTATCAGGATTGCACACCTTGCACTTCGTCATCGTCAGTTAAGGCATCAAAAGATGCGGATAGTGTGTTTCATCGGGAGTCCTATAGAAGAAAGTGAGGAGGATGTAAGTCTGTTAGTGCATCAACTTTTTTTCTAGTTAATTAAGCTTGCAAAACGTCTCAAGAAAGAGAAAGTCAACGTTGATATAATTAACTTTGGGGAAAATGAAGCGAACCAGGAGAAATTGTCAAAGTTCATAGACACACTGAATGGCAAGGATGGGAGTGCCTCCCATCTCGTTTCTATTGCGCCAGGAACAATTCTACATGATACACTAGTAACAAGTCCTGTCGTTGCCGGCGAAGATGGTGCTGGACTTGGTGGTGCTGGACTAGGATTGGAGTTTGGATTAGATGGTGCTGAAGATCCTGATTTGCTTTACGCACTCAGGGTTTCGATGGAGGATCAACGTATGCGGCAAGAGCATGAGGTTAATGCAGATAGTAGCAATTCACCTGCTGTAACCGCTTCTCTACCAGGTATTTAGAGAAACTTCTACGGTCACAACATATTTTAACCACCTTTTTTGCACTACGCTGAGTTCTATGTCCTTGCTGTTTTACATCATGATTTGGGTGCAATTAAGATTATGGTTTGAGGACAGAACACATGCGGGCCATGATATCTCTTTTCTTTGTCAATTCCATTTTTGAGCATATCCGTTGACGAAATGAATACCACTTTCGGTAGCTTCCTGAAATCGTCAACTACTCCTTGCAATAGCCAGTACTTCAGGGCAGTAGTATTTATCTTTGGCTTCACTCTTACCATGTTTTCTGGGGTATTAAAGCCTAGTGGTGAGGAAAAGGCAGTTGGTCGATCACAAAGTTATCAAAATTTTCTTACAGCTTGATTAACTTTCCTCAGCGCATGTGGTACGATAGGAAAGTTCAACTCTCAACTTCACCTCGTAGACAAGGAGTTACCGATCGCACACAATTTTCCAGTTGAGATCTTGGCGAGAAATGTGTATAAGGCAGTGGAAGTATCTCTATTGATCCTAGACAAGGTTTTACTTATTGCCTGGGATTCTCAAACTACAAGCTTCAACTAGTTGATAGGTTCACAGCTTAGGCAGCTAAGTCGACCTGAGCATATGCAGCTCATGCCCAACCATCACCTAGCTTGACGCGCAATGTTAATTGAAGTAGAATTAGTTTACAGGGAATCTAGGATAGCCAAACCATAAGGTGCCATCAGTATATGTAGTTCTGGACTTGTTCTGTCCGTGTAGAATGGTGTAACCACTAAATATTTGTACTGTTTCTCATACTGTTTTGTGAACTTTAATATTCTCTTCTGTCTACGTCCTCCTTGTAAGCTGTACTGTGCAGCAAGCTGATGCATGTTTGTAAGATTCTACACAAATTTGTGTCTCTGCTGTGAGTTTTTAACCTTGCAACCTTTCTTTCCTATCCGTTGATTCATTCTTTTCCAAATATCCACCGAAGTCCTACAGTTTCTTACACCAAGCAGACTTGTACTACGTTTTTTTACTGTTTATGATTATCTTAAGAATATCTTCACCTTACGTACTTCAGAAATCTGGGAACATGGTCGCTAGAAAAGTATACCACATTTTAGCTGCTGTGTGTACTGGGCTTCTAAGGCACGCATCGGAATGCACTCAGCAACTTTGTGTACGTTCGTGTAGTAGGCCATAAGGCACACCTGTTATAAGGGCTAATAATACTATCTGACTGGCCAGACCCCGGTAGGTAGATCGGGCCTCGAACTTGCGACGTATTTTGGTTGATAGTCAACTCCTTAAACCAATGAGCCACAGCCCCACTGAGGCACTCATAGATTACGTAAATATGGTCATTCATTAAGCAACATGACAATTCTGTATCATTCAATTTTCGAGCACCTAATTGGTTGGTTCCACTGGCTTGAATTTGAGAATGTTTGGGAGAATTTGAGAATGTTTGGGATGCGATTTTCACCACCCAAATGCAAATTTTTGCTCCAGGACTGGTCTTCAGCGGTACCGCGGTTAACAATAGAGAGTGAAGTGGTTGAGTGTGTTGACCACTTCACTTACCTGGGAAGTAGGATCAACTCCGGTGGGTTAGTTGCCGATGAGATTTCTGCACGGATACAAAAGGCTCGATTGGCTTTTGCCAATTTGCGCCACCTATGGCGCCGCCGTGATATTCGTTTGTCTATTAAGGGTCGCGTGTACTGCACAGCAGTCCGCTCTATTCTACTGTATGGCTGTGAAACATGGCCATTGAAAGTGGAAGACATGAGAAGGTTACAGGTATTTGACCACCGTTGCCTTCGTAGTATAGGACGTATTCCGTGGTGTCACCATGTGAGTAATGCAGAAGTTAGGTGTAGAGTTTTAGGGAGAAGAGGTAAGTCAGTCGACGAGGTTGTGAACCTTCATCGACTGAGATGGTTGGGACACGTACTACGTATGCCTAGTCACCGATTGCCTCGTCACACAATGTTGGCTGAGGTGGGTCCAGGCTGGAAAAAGGCCCGAGGTGGCCAGACTAAAACATGGCACCAATGTATGAAGTCTTTGACTGTTGGTTTAAGCCATGTAGGACGATGCAGACTAGGTGGTTGGGGTCCACGGGACAAGAGGAACCAGTGGTTGGAGACCCTAGGTGATATGGCTCAAAACCGAAGTCAGTGGCGCAGATGTATACACACATTATCCTCATCTTAACAACGCTATACCGAATCTCACTATTTTGTCACTCCTCTTTCCTTTCTTCTCATACTTTATATTTCTTTTGACTGCATTCACTTATCTTCATCCTTCACCTCACTACCTTTTTACTTGATGTGCTGATATGAGGTGTGGCAACTCGGACCGTTACGCAGTAATGCCTGGTCCTATGTTGATAATGATGATGATGATGATGATGATGACTTAAACATCTCAATTTTTCCTTAAACGTGAGATACTGAACACTGGGTTGTCATGTATGGTGGTCATTTAGTAACTAGGTGACGAACAGTTTTGGAGTTTAGGATATCCAAACTACTCCCTGAAAATGTGTACGTGGTTTTTAAGGATTTTATCGGATCAAACTGAATATGTTTATGATTTGCCAATTAAGCAGTTAAACCTTTTTTTTCTCCGCAAGATACTTACGATATGTGAGCTTCTTTGTCTAGGCTCGCCGGGCAACAAGTGCGTGGTTTGAGAGCTTAAGAAACGTTACTCAACCAGTTACATTGACGCAGATGCGTTCACGTTTTATCTTGTCTTGAAAATCTTTGTCCTTACAACTTCTGTCGTCATTTCACTTATTTTAGAGCTGTGACTCAGTAGTCTAGGGAGGTGACTGTCAGTCAGTTGGTCTTCGGTTCGATTCTAGCTTCATCTACCAAGGTTCAGACAGCCAAGTTGTATCACTAGCCTTTTGACATTAGATATAGTTCATTGCGTAGTGCATAAACATGAACGTGTTCGATGATAGTTTAGGTAGTTTTAGTTCTTGATATTTGGTAGGGCAGTTTCTTAAACGATATACCATGTTTTGTGTTACATTTGTTTCTCATTTTGAAGACAGTCGTAATCTTGGCATCCATTTATTTCTATGTAGCTGGATCAGGAACATCTGAAGAGGCTATGCTTCAACAGGCTTTAGCTATGTCAATGCAGATGGATAATACGGGGTCTGCATCTTTACCTATGGACATTGATTTGGCCGCCATGTCTGAAGAAGATCAAATCGCCTATGCGCTACGCATGTCTCTGCAACAAATGGAGGAGGAAACTACACCAACAAATGCTACCTTGAAACCTAACAAGGTTTGTTTATCTGTTTTGTAAGGTAGGTCTGTATTGACCCACCATAAAGCTCAGGTGTATACGTTGGTGTTACCGTAGTAGGTCCATAAAACATCTTATTTCATCTATAAAGTCCTGTGCCTATGAACCGACAAAAGTGATCTACAGTTTGTTATTTTTTCCTAGCCAACAGTAACTTCAAACATCACCTCATTTGGCGTCCACCAACATCAAGCCAACTGTGGGCAAATATCGATCATATCAATATTAGCCTGTCGTTAGAGGAGAATAGTGGGGAAGTGGGTGATGAAACTCTTCTCGTGCGTTGTTCCTGATAAATGTTCATCTTTAGCTCTAAACAAATGAGAGTAAGGTTTTTTTGCTCAAATAAGCTTCAAGTGGTGATTCAGCTATGTATTTATCTGAAGGTGGCAACTATTCTCATCTAAGTGATGTCTGATCTAATATTCAGGCTACACTGAAGACTAACTTAGAACCGTAGATTAGTAAACTCAAGTGAATTTTTACAACCACATCCGAACCGACTGATGTAAAAAACCTGATCCGGGTGCCTAGTCTCATGAAGAAAGAATGCAGGTTCTCAGTAAACTAAGATTCTTCATAACGACTATGAGAAGTGGTGGGTGACAAAAGCAAGAAAGATAGAGAAGGGTTTGGCACTAAGCAGTATACAAACTTATGTAGGCTTATCAGAAACACTGATATAGAAAAGTTTTTGGTCACTGATGGTATCATTGAAAAATTGGGTCGTTGGTAACTTCAGCCTAGACAACTGGAAGGTTGAATGGAATCTTTTAAAGAACTCATAGTTCAGTATTGATAGCAATACCGCAAATGTATCCACACATAATCTTCATCTTGTTTGTTGTATCGCTTTTCTTTATTTCCTCTGTTCGTATGACTTACTACTACTTTTCACTGTCGGTATCCGGCATCTTGGCATTTAAGCTTAATGTGGCCCTCCAGATTAAATTATCACAATAAACGAAGAGAACTATTAAAATTATTTTCAAAACTGCTCATTCCACACAGTTTCGATGGAATAATAACTACTAACATCAATCATGATATATGAGGCTAACATGGCAACATATCGGGTACCAGCAGTGCTACTTTTTCTGACATTATCTCTATTTCGCTGTCCTTCACCTTATTACCTTGTATCTTGATGTGATGTGTGGGAGCTCGCACTACTAAGCAGTAATATCATGTCCTATGTTAATACTGAGTAACTGGGGCGAAACCTCCATATGACACATATAAAGGAAGAAGTTTGACGATGTTCTAAGATTGTAAGGCTGTTAGTCTTTCGACGCTTAACCGGAGCTTTCAAACAATACAGTCAAGAAATGTAGAAGCTTTTCAGATCGAAATGAATTCACATCACTTAGATCTGTATCTTTTTAGCAGGTTTCTCAGCATATAAACATAATTACCAGTGCCCGACACTTACCATTTTTCTTGGTCTGAAGATACTTTTCGACTCCGTCCTTAAAAAGGTTTTTTTGCAGTATCTAACTGAAGTTAGTGCTAATAACGTTGATTACGCTAATCAGGCCTCTCCAATCAAACGCAGATAGTCTTGCAAGCACTTACGTAGAGTTGTTTTCTGAATTGATGACAACCAGTGGTATTTGCCAAGAATCTTTACTGTAATCATTCCTGTTCATATTTTTTTGGACGGATGTGATTTTGCTTCTGACCTCTCAGAGACTGATTGACTGCCGTAAGGGGACTTAATTGGCTTTAAATATGTGGAAAAAAGAACTAAAGTGGTGAAAAATATCGAGTCATGCGAACCTTTAAATAAAAATCTAAGTGTATTTGGAATACTTTCTACACATGCCAAATGTAAGTTTGTGCTTCAGGACTGTTTAGCACCAACTACTAGTTTTTGGGTTGGTGGTGAAGTTTTGAACTGATTGACTGATAAAATCAACGTAGAACTTCCCAGACAGGTGCATCAGCTCAAGTTTCCACACTTCAGAAGTATACAAAGAACAGATGGATAGAATAAGAGTGATATCAAGAAGACAAAGTTGTGTTGGAGAGTGAACAAGTTTTAGATGTCATTGACTGAGATGTTTGTGACATGTGTTACGTATGCCTAGTTGCCGTCTGCCTTGCCACATAATGTTGGCCGAAGTAGGTTCAAGCTGGTAAAAGGCTCAAGGCGGCCAGACTAAAACATGGCATCAATATATGATGTCTTTGACTGTTGGTTTGAGCCATGTGGGGCGGTGCAGACTAGTCGGTTAGTGTCCACGAGACTAGAGAAATCAGTGGTTGGAGACTCTAGGTGATATGGCTGGGGAGCGACGTCAGTGGCGCAGTCGTATACACACATCCTCATCTTAACGACGCTATACCGAATCTCACTATTTTCTCATTTTCACTTCTCTTTTCGTACTTTATGTTTCTTTTAACTGAATTGTCCTTCCTTCATCTTCCACTTCACTGCCTTTTTACTTGATGTACTGATATAAGCTGTAGCAAATCAAACCGTTATACAGCAATACCTAGTCCTATGTTGATTTTGATGGATGGATGGAGATGTCATGCGCCATTGTGACCGATTTTCACCCTTGTCAATAACAGTCTTCAACCACTGATTTATTTCGTCTCGGGGACCCCAACCAGTCAGTCTGCATTTTCCCCACACTACTCAGACAAACAGTAAGAGACTTCGTTGACTAGTTCCAGGTCTTAATCTGACCAGGACCGTCTTCCAACCTAGTCCAACTCCCTCTGGGGATAGCACGTCGAGGTAGGTGGTGACTCGGCATGGGTAGTACATGTCCAGTCCATCTCAGTCGACTAAGTTCACAACCTCATCAATCGACTTGCCTATCTTGTCTAGAACCCTTTCCCTGACCTCAACACTACTCACACAGTGATTTCACTAAACGCGAGTAGTTGCATTAACCCGAATAGGCTAGGTAGTGACGAAGTCTCACGTATTTAACACATGCTGTGTATAAATCTGACTGGATAACAAAATGTTAGCATATACCATACAACATTCCTCTCTGCCTCTCTATGCCTTCCTATCACAGGTGTGTCTTGGTTTCACTGTCTCAGTAGCGTAGAAGTCAGGCTTAGCGTTTTAGAGAGAAGTCAGTCGATATGTTTATGAACTTTCGTTGACTCATGTGGTTGGGACATGTGTTGCGCATGCTCATAGTCCTGTTAAGTGAAGACGCTGACAAGATGCAGAGTCTTCTGATCACTTTGAGTGGGAATTTGAGAATGTTTGGGATGCGTTTTCACCACCCAAATGCAAATTGTTGCTCCCGGACTGGTCTTCACTGGTGCCACGGCTAACAATAGAGAGTGAAGTGGTTGAGTGTGTCGACCACTTCACTTGCCTGGAAAGTAAGATCAGCCCTGGTGGGTTAGTTGCCGATGAAATCTCTGCACGGATACAAAAGGGTCGATTGACTTTTGCCAATTTACACCACCTATGGTGCCGCCGTGATATCCTTTTGTCTATTAAGGGTCGTGTGTACTGCACAGCAGTCCGCTCTTTCTACTGTATGGCTGTGAAACATGGACATTGAAAGTGGAAGATATGAGAAGGCTTCAAGTGTTTGACTTCCGTTGCCTTCGTAGTATAGGACGTTTTCCATGGTGTCACCACGTGAGTAATGCAGAAGTCAGGCGTAGAGTTTTAGGGAGAAGAGGTAAATCAGTTGATGAGGTTATGAACCTTCATCGACTGAGATGGTTGGGACACGTACTACGTATGCCCAGTCACCGATTGCTGAGGTGGGTCCAGGCTGGAAAAAGGCCCGAGGTGGCCAGACTAAAACATGGCACCAATGTATGAAGTCTCTGACTGTTGCTTTGAGTCATGTGGGGCGATGCAGACTAGGTGGTTGTGGTCCGAGGGACAAGAGAAACCAGTGGTTGGAAACTCTAGGTGATATGGCTCAGAACCGATGTGAGTGGCACAGATGTATCCCCACAGACATTATCCTCATCTTAACTACACTATACCGAATCTCACCATTTTGTCATCCCTCTTTCCTTTCTTCTCGTACTTTATATTTCTTTTGACTGCATTCTCTCATCCTTCACCTCACTGCTTTTCTACTTGATGTAGTGATATGAGGTGTGGCAACTCGGACCGTTACGCAGTAATGCCTGGTTCTATGTGGATATTGATTGGTTGATTGATTGATTGCACATGCTCATTCACCGTCTGCCTCGTCGCACAATGTTAGCTAAAGTAAGTTCAAGCTGGGAAAAAATTAAAGTGGCCAGAGTAAAAAATGGTATCAGTCCATTTAGTCTGTGACCGTTTATCTGAGGCGTATGGGAAAATGTAAACTGGTTGAATACTAGGTGATATAGCTCCCAATCGGTGTCACTGGCGCAGACGTATCCACACATATTCATTTTATTCGTCAAATTAAACTTCATTATTCTCTCACTCCGTGGTTTCTTTTAATGACTTCCTACCACTTTTGACTACTGTCTTTTCTACCTTTCCACTTAGTGCTTTCTTGCTTGATGCGCTGATATGAGGTGTCGTCTTGGGTTATTACGTAGGAATGTCAGGTCCTACATTGATTTCATCTATCTTACCTGTCTATGACTGGAAAATGGTCATTGGAAGAGAAACAATACGAGTTTTTAATCATAGGTATATTAGAAGTGTTATTTGTTTGTGTTGAAAACAAGGAGTGAACGATTTTTAAGTTGAGAACCGAACACTAGGTGTAAGATGTAAGGCGTAATATAGAGTTGTGAGCCTTGGTCAACTAAGATAGCCCTGGATGGTGTTGCTTTCGCTAAGCCACCTTTCTCAGCGCTCACTCTTAAATGAAGTAGGACTACGATAGGTTTTGTGAACGTTAAGACGGAATACACCAAATATGACACCGGCCCATGAAGTCTGTGATTGTTTTTCTAAGCCATACAAATGTATTCCTCTGTCATTCTAGAAATCTTGAATTTAGTACTAGCTCTCATTTTTTGTTCAGTCTTCACATTCCCCTTTCTGCTCATTTTGGAATGATTCCACCTGAAAGTCTCTCATGCACTTTGATCTGCTTTGTTACCACTCTTTCTACCTAGTTATTCTTGGCATACTGGGGCTGCCTACAGCAGGAATGTGGTATTGTGAAGTGTGGCAACTTCAACCGATGCAATTTTGTGTTAGCTAATACGTTGATCGTGTCTGTTTAAATATGCCGGCAATCCTTACGTGACACCGTAGCACCACTTATACTCTAAAGTTCACCTCTCTCTTGAAGATGAGACTTTTGTCTCCTACTTCTCAAGTTTACCTCAAGTAGCATGGTCTCCAGTCTGTGTAGCTGGAATAATTTCATTGCATTAGGTAAGTTTGACCACGATGAGGCATTTTCAGTTACGGTTGGAATCTTTTTTTCAAAGAAATGTTACTTGGTTTCCTTTTTACTGTTTACATTTGACCATATTTCTGAGACTCATTGCAACGCAACAATAAATTATTTTATTCACAGACTAGTGCTGAATCATCTGCTGTGGCTATGGATATAGACCAGACGCCGACCAAAGCTGCGGAAAAGCCAGAAGTAGCTACTGGTTCTGGTACATTAGCTGCTGCAGCAGCATCAGCTCTTGGCCCTTCAACAGTTCACACATCTGCTGACTTAGATGTTATGTATGATGCAGAGTTTTTGGAGTCTGTTTTGCAAAGCTTACCTGGTGTGGATACACAGAATGAAGATGTTCGTAAGGCTATAAGTGCTCTGACCAAACCACAATCCCAGGGGAATTCAACCAAGGATGAAAAGAAAAGTAAGGATAAGCAAGAGGACTGAGTGATTGTTTGTCGATTGGATTTAACAAGTCTGCATGAGTTTGTTTCGTGACAAAATTGTTTGCTGTCATTTACTCTTTTTGTTATTTTTCTCTTCTAAGAGTCAAATGGAAATGTCACCAAATAAACTATACTGTTTTCATTCATCCAGTTTATTTAGTTAACGTACTGTGCTTTTGTTTGTAACACATTTTGTTGCTATAAGCGAAAGTTTTCTAAGATATCTATCCGTCTGTGAATATGGGAGTTATACTCTATGCTTCTTGTTTTTCATGATAGCATTGGTCATAGACCGACATCATTCGGAAAATCTCTAAAAGCCTGGGAGCACTGTACGGGTGTTTCATTCTGGTCTGAGACTCAGTGGTTGACACCAAATACCTTGCAAAGGATAGAGTCCTGCACTGTCAAGTTTCGTGGCAAGTACGTTATTATTTAGTCACTGGGTTTAAATTTAGGCTGTTGAAGCGAAACCATTAGACAACTTTCTATGTCAACCAGAATATAGAATAGATGCATAGGTGACGTTTTTGTCATCATGAAGAAACCAGACCAACAGGTTTTTTTGAACAAACGTGTTCTGGTTGAGATTATATAAAAAGCGATAATGAAATAGAATATCATGAAGGGACTACAAACATTTCAGACTGCCTTGGTTCTCTGAGAAGTTCACCTAAAATTATAACAAGGATTTCATTTGTTAACCACTGAAAAAGTAGTGTGGTGTGTGTGTGTATGCACTAGAGGAATGTCTTGATATAAATGTAAAATTTGGCTGTGACACGTATAGCAATATATCGTTATGTTAAATATTCATTCTCGGTTAGTTTACACTTTGGATTCCTAGTGGATGTAGTATTGTCAAAGATAAGATATAACGCTAAACAACTATCATGTGTATTTTTTATTACGGATTCCATCAGGAGGTTTATTTCAGAACATGAGAATAGACACTTCCGAGCTCGATTTATATGAACGAAAGTTGTAGGTATTTATCAACATAATTCTCCAACAGCGTTCATCTATTTGTCTGGAATTCCTCATAGAAGTGTTTATCAAAGTCTGTCTCTTCTAGTTTGACTTTATCAGAATTAGATTTGGGACAAAAGACTCATTTGTAAACCTAGAATACAGCGATGACATAACCTTGTTTGGTGAAGATGTACTGTTTTCTGCATACGTTGCGTGGAAGTTTAAGCATCTTTCAGATGCATTTCTCAACACGCTAGTACAAAGTTCTGCTCTGGGACTGATCTGGGTTGACGCTATCCGATGATATGAAGTCTGGTCAACCGTGATATGTAAGTGACCGACGAAACCTCTGCATGAATGCGAAATAGCAGAGTTTTTTTTTATCAACTTACGTGTTTGGTAACTCTGCCGTGATATCCGACCGCTCACTGAGGGTGAAGTGTACTGGTCCACAGTCTTATTTTTTCGTTGATATGGCTATGGAACATGGTCATTAAAGTTGGAAGACATCAGAAAGTTTGGAGTGTTTGACCGCTGTTGCCTTCATGTCATGGACCATGTGTCGTAGGTTTTTCATCCCAGCGTTGTGGTAGTCAGATACAGAGTTCTGGTTGTGAGCGGTAATTCAGTTGAGGGGTTAGATAAGTGATATATATTTGTGTTAACTTGCGTTGTATCTGTCGTGTATGAACAACAATATTATTTTAATCAATCACATTAGTTGTCATCTATTCTGCGCTTTAGGGAAGGTCATTTTTCTCATATCTCTCTCTTAGGTCTTACCATCTTGTCCTGATGTAAGATGTGGCAATGTGGACTATTAGGCAGTGATGTCAGGCCACATGTTGATGCTAATTAACTGGCAAACAGTTATTTCTCAAGTCTAATTGGTCAGTAAGGTCAGTCGCATTTGCAGTTACTAGTTGGTTACATTATATCATTCTGGTTTATCAATCCATTCTGTTAGCACTACAACAACCATTTCGTAAGTTGGTTTCGTAAAATATGCTGACAAAATAGTTTTATGGGTTATAGACAGTGATACAATTAAGTACCTTGAAGGACAATATGGAGATGTTAAGGATGAATCCTTCGTGTCACTAATGAAAATTGTTACGTCGAAACTGATCTACATCAAAACCTCAATTGTTATGTCACTCACCTAGGATTTCAAATCACTGTGGCTGGTCTATTTGTAGCACAGAACACAAGTCCGGATAAGGTTCTTGGATTTTATTGGTTGTTCTATGTTTATAAAAATATGAGTGTGTTTACAACTCGCTTACTTAAGAAGTCTCATCAGTTTGAGTGGTTTTAGTAGTGATCAAACTTCGACACTTCATACTGTATATCATGAAAGGTTTCTTTGCTGTTATAAAAGTAGGTATGGGCGAATGCCTGTTGAGCACTGCATACTGCTTTGTATTTTGCTTTTCTACTGTATGACAGATGCAAGGTTATCAGTAGAGGGTTACGATTCTTTTACTCCTAATTCATTCGAAGCATTTCTCCTACTGGGGAACCACAGAGTGAACAATGTTAATTTAGATTATTCTGTTAAGGGGGTTAATTAGTTAATAAAGCGGTGAACGTTAAACAGCTGAGTTTGGGATGTGTTACACACAATGTGAAGCAATTTAAATTGTATAAAAGTAACCTAAAGCTCATTTAACTAAGAGGGTAACACTAGTCCATGAGATGTGAGACTACTTGTCTGAATTGTGTAGGCTTCCTCACTTGGGACTGACAGAACTGTTGTCGGTGGTTGAAGACTGAAATTCAGAGATAACTTAACATTGGATTATCTGATAGTTAAGTATAACAACATCCTAATTCTATTAGTATCATTCGGTTTCTTGCTGAGGGAATATTATTTGTGAGGCCAAAAAGGGATCTCGTGAAAAAACAAGTTTATTGATACAAGTCAGTATAAACAATTTATTTGAAATACAAACTGTTAGATAATCAAATGTAATCATATACGAACTTCATTTGAATAAAATATGTATAGATACAAATTGCTTTCAAAGTGAATATTGTTAAGTGACTCAATGGTTTGTGTTCAACATGATGCATAAATGTGAAAGGAAAATTTTTAAGACAAGAAAGAAATGAACGAAAAGGAATTTGATGTTCCTTTCTTTCATTATGTAAAGGAAATGAGGGATAACCTACAAAGCTGCACGGCAGCGTTTTGTAGGATTCATTAGAGCACCAACTGGGCACTTGAATGTATTTGCAAAATCAGGCAGTTCATTCATTATATGATTCACTCTGAAAGCAAAAAACACTAATTTTGTTTAGGAAAACCGTCAATATTGGCAAGTGTGCATCAATTTGTAAACTTTTGACATTTCAGTACAACTCTAGGTTGTGACAACGCGTGACTTCGGTATCGAAAATAGCTTATGCTTGTATGAGGGGTTAATTTTTGAAGTTACGCTACCAGCTTTCTTACATTCAGTCAGGCCTGAAAAATCTCTCCGTTGACTAAGGTACATAATCTGATCATCTGATTACGTCATTAGCGGTTCCTATTGTGGTTACTCAACCTAGACTTCATTGGTGCCGGTGTAAGTCAGTAACGTGTACTTCTGACCTTCGTGAGATTCATCTTCATTGGTAAACTTGAACCTATGTTACTCATTGGATAGTTTAACACCAAGCCATTTTGATGACAACTGATTGAAGCCTACGTCAATCTGCCAATTGATTGTATCTGATCCGTTTCTACAAACGGTTAGTCTTCTGCTGATTAGTTAACCAGTAAATTGTTAGTCTGCAGAGCAGAATGCTTTAGTTTAAAATACCCTAGGGATTGTGAGTCCCTTCACGGCTGCGAATACCTCTGCTTATATATGCAAGAAAACTTGGTAAAAGTAGGATTAATATGAGGTAATTTCAACCATACTTGAAACATAGTACAACGTGGTATCACTTCAGATTTGATAGGTTCATTTCAGCTAGGAGTTATCGCTTCGCCTGCATCGCCTAACATGCAGTAACAGATATGTGTATTACAAGATGAACCAGAAGCTGACGACATATTCTGCTGAAGAACATGAATGGTTAGGAACTGCACACTGATCAACTGATTTCCCTGTTCGGATTAAAGTGGCCTAATTACTGAGTGACCTTTTTGAGCGTTGTCCAGATCAACTGAACTTGGTTAGCTGAATTAAGTAGATTGGTATTCTTTTAATAGGTTAATCAGTTTGCAAATTTCACAGTCCACTTTCATGCTTCTAACAGTAAGGTAGGTTTTCAACTGCCCTACTGTTGTGTCAATAGGTTAACATAAGTGGTTTGAAGTGCTGTTGTCGTTTAGTAGCACGTATCTTTACTTCGTGAAATCTGCATCAGAGATCACTTCTTGCTACCTTGGCCGATTGGTTTCCAACGGAAACCCTGCTGACAATGCAGTTAAGAATCCACTCGACTGAGAGATATCAAAGTTGACTATACAATTAACAAATTGATATTCATCAAACTAGATATTTTTCTATTTATCTTTTGATGAGGTCATAGGTCTGCTACAAAACTGAGAGCTACTGAAAACCTCTTTAGGTTAAGAACTGAGAATCTTCAAATCCTATTGCAAAAATATCATTCCTTCACTTCAGGCGATCCACCACCACCAATGAACATTCTTCTTGTTAATCTTGAATAAACTAACTTCACGAATCAAGGTTTCCTTTTAGGAGCAAAAGAAAGACTTTCGAAAATTTGTCACTGATCACAGTTTGCCTTAGGTTGGAAGATGCAAGATAAAGGATTCAGACTCAAATTTAAAATGTTTTCTGTTTTAGCAATAGACTTCTAGCTTCTAGGTCTTATCCTATTTAAGATGATGTGCACTACTGAATAGAACATAACCAAAGGAGACCAACTTTCCAGTAGTTTCTGTACCCCATATTAGTCGGTGATACATATATATATATATATATATATATATATATATATATATATATATATATATATATATATATATATATGATGACTGAGGTTGGACGAAAGTTGTGTCGTGGTAGGACTCTAATTGATGGCCTTATTGTCGGCTCAGTGTCCTATCAACTTAGCTAAGAAGATGAATGAACAACCAGAACTCAACGTCACTTCAACTAACTGGCGTGTGAATAAGGCACATTCAATCAGGCTTCTTTCATCACGCTAGCTGTCTGACTAGGCCTTCTTATCTAAATCAAGCTAAATAAGAAGGGGTGAACGATTGACTGACTAGAAATCAAACCATATAAGATTAATTTTATGACTACGATTATAGTTAACCTGCCTAGCGATTAAGTCTCATTGTTCAGTCAGTATTGCACCATTCAGTAATCTGGAAGCCGCTAGCTCGTATCATGTTGCCGGACAGATTTCCGTTCAGCTTCTAAAGTCGTTCTACAATCTATAAAATCAAGGTTACGTATGATAGTCTAATAAATCGGTGTACTGGAAAATATTACTTACAAAACTTCATACGGTGGTTGTGGTGTTGTCGATGTCATCTGGTAATATTCATCCCAGAAATCCATATTGTGACAAAACGTCTAAACAGGAAAAGAATAGACCAGTGCAATAATTTATGATCCCAGTTATAAACTACAGTAACATCCTAGTAGTTTATATTGATAAATACTGGTTTGAAATTGATGTCAAATACTAAAGTAGACTTTTAGAGGTCTCTTGTATTATGATCACGTAAACCTGATTACTTCCAAATTCAACTCGTAGCCGCATTATTTTATCGATTATAATGAAGAAAACCCATCCAATGAAAATAAATAGGTTAAATGTGTTCGAACAAGGTATTTTCAGACTATAAAGTAGGAGTAAAAAGGGATACTGTAGTGGGCGTTGCTGATAAGAATGAATAAAAGTCGCATATTAAAGTTTGAGGGAGGTGTGAAATTTGGAAATATTTTGAAGTTGTTATTCGTCGTAGACTGAGGACAGATACTCAACGATGACATTGGGTGGCGGTTGCGCTATGTGGTGAGCTAACGAAAGTTGGAAATATGGAGCACTGGATTCTGACTCGGTGGTTTAATGGTAACGCACTGGCCGCGGAACCTGAAGGTCGCGGGTTTGGTCCCTGGAGGGGTCGCGGGTGCGCACTGCTGAGGAGTCTCATACTAGTCGGACGAAACAGCCGTCCAGGTTTCCTTTGTTCCTCCAACTGATGTCAGTCTACGATGAATAACAACTTGGAATAAGTAGTATATGTTGAGAGTGTGGCAGAAATCATAGGGAATTACTAGCAATGGGTAAGGATTCTGCTAAGAGAAATGCAAGGGACAAGGTAGGTGTATGAAGAGCAAATCGAGATAAAAGCAGAGGAGGAAATGAAGCACATTTTGCAAATGACGGTTTTAGTGCAAGGTGTACCATATTTAATGACTACTGTCCCACTTGTCGACAACAAACATTACTCACTTCGTAACTGTCTTCTTGTTTCTTTCAATATGACTATGTGAGACACAACTTCACAGTTTCACTGTGCGTTTATCGAGAAAAAGAAAAATTTAGTGCACAACTTATGAAGAGCTTAGCACTGGTAGTGATGTCAAAAATAAAAGCTGTTCAGTTGGTGCAGCTGCTTAACGTGAGTAGTTGTAAAGCACCTGATATTATTCGACATACCACCAATCAATGAAGTGCGTAGATGATGTAGTTGTCTAAAGACAAGATGCCGACTAGATGTATAGTTTTATGGACACCTTCAGTAGAAGAATAAGATACATTTCTCGACATCCAAGTACAAAATTTTTCTCTGAGACAGGTCTGGGTTGATGCTTCATGTGATAGTATATCGTGAAGTAGTTGAGTACTCTGACCACTTAACTTACTTCGAAAGTCCGATCGAAAGTGGTGTATGTTGTGCGGCCCCAGTTTGCATAAAACATTGTTATTGATCAGAACATTTTCTAAATTGGCATTCTCACACCATTTTAACGGTATGACTAGTAGTTTATTTTCTACCCCCATTGTGGTATAGTTCGCTGATTACTTAATCTTTACTCTCACTGTCAATGTTTCAAATTGCGGACAAGGTCATATTTCATGTGTATACATATTCATGTGCTTTTGGATTGATTGGTCATTGTATTCTTGGAGTAATAAACTCTTTCATCATCCAGCTTCGGTCTTCTCTCTATTCGTCCCGGCTTGCAGTCGGTGGGTCTTGCGTACGAAGTTAGCTGTCAGTTAAGGGTGCGTACTATATCCGTTCGTCAGTGACCGACGAAATCTCTGCATGGATGCGAAACTATGGAGTCATTTTTGTCAATTTACGTGGTTGGTGTCTCTGCCGTGATATCTGACTACTTAGTGAGGGTCGAGTGTACTGGTCTACAGTTTTCTTTGCTATATGATATGACTGTGGATCGTTACTATGAATGTTGGAGGATATCAGATGCTTTGGGTTGTTTGACCACTGTTGCCTTCATGTCATGGGTCCTTTTTCAAATGACCTGTAGCATTTCACCGGTGCGGTAGTCGGACGCTAGTCGGCTTCTAGTGGTAATTCAGTTGAAGATGTTGGGGGGGGGGGGGTTTAGTATGTTTATTTTCCATCCATTCCAGCCGTGCAATCTTACGAGAATTGTTTAGGCTGGATAAAGATGAAACATGACCAAGTAGATACCTGGCATGAGTAGATGAAGTCTATGACTGTTGGTGTAAACCGTTAAAGTGATTGTAGAGTTTCTGGTTACGATCTGTATGACGGATGTCTTGAAGGGCGGGATTGGAGACTAGGTGATAGGTTTCAGAATCAATTTCAGTGGCTCAGATACATTCACATGTTATCTGCTTGTTTGTTATAACAAATTCTGATGTGGTTATACCTCAGTTTCTACTGTTTTGACTTTTGACTACATTCAGTCCCATGTAATTTGACAAGTTGCACTGTTTCGCGGTGAATATTGACTGACTGAGTAATAATCGATCAGTTGAAAGAGGTAGCCGAAATCCTAAGAATTTGATGATTTGGGCTCTCCAGACTGATATACTGCAGGTACGGTGTTGATCGGCTGGATATCATACAAGTGAAACGACTATCTGGTGTTAAGATAGCATCCATATTACTAACGAGCCCCACTAGTAGTTATCAGTAGTCTACGATTAGTCATATCTGCCAGCAGTAGAGGTAACGCACGTGAGGAATTTCGTTTTTTTTCTAATGATGTGATTCTCAGGGTAAAATTATACTCTTTGAAGCTCAATTATTCCATCTTATTACTTAATTAGGAGAGTATTTAAATAGGAAATGAAAGTAGTTTTACGTTGTTTTTTTAAGGTGATTGATTCTGGTTATTCTTAACCGCTAAGATACAATAATGTAACACCTAAAACCGTACTTTTTCTAAAAATGTATGATATATTGTCAGTATAAAATGGTAAAGGGTAAGTAATTGAATCTTATTGTTATACACAATCTGGCTATTTATTTCTGAGGTTGATTGCTAAATTTCACTTATCATTTTATGATGTTTTGATGAACTTAGATTGGTTTTGTCTTGCAAAGCAAAAACCTTTTAGCTTGGTGCATGTTTTCTGCATTTCATACTGTAAAATAAGATCTGACCGGATAGTTTTGCAGGAAGTTCAACCAACTATCTGATAAGAAAAACGTGACTTCCAACGTTTAGTGGATAAAATAAAAGACGTGAGACTGGTAGACTATAATGATAGCAGTTCTAGATAATTCCGAGAAGTCCAAACTTTATATGAATCTTGCTTAGCAGTCGTACTTCATAATTAACATCCCTCCTAACTCATGCAGCCAAAAAAATCTAGAAGAATTATTTATTTCTCTACTTACTAAGTAGTAAAAATAAAATAACGAAAATTTGTTTAAATCTTCAACATAATTTCTTACTTGTGCGTATGTTAAATAAAATAATTGTTTAGGATTGAACGAGACACCAGGTAAGCGTCTTAAATACTTCTCATCTGGTGTGTTATTAATCCAGTCTTCGAATGCCTATGGAGAAAGAACAGATAAGACAAATTTATTTTGATTTTCAGAAGAGTTTATGAATAAGATTTTCAGTGGAGGTTGAATATACATAAAATATAATATATTTTATAGTTTTTGTTGTGTAAAGCCAGTTGAACTTCCTAAATTTGTTACAGATCAGCTCATTCTATGATTTCACTTTTAAATTTAGGAGATTACTGTCATCTCTATAAATCAAAGATGTGGGCCAATAATTTGTTTTTCTGGTTTGATCACATAGGGCTACGTAGGTATGCTGTACCATGAAATAAGATTGAAGTTATCATCAAACCAGAAAATTCTATCTGAATAACTGGGGAGTTCGATGAAAATTTACTTAGTATACTGTCTAGGAAAAAAACCTGAATAAATAATGCCGAGCGGTGTAACAGCTTAATGCAAAGACGTTCAAAAGTGGATCTTCAACTAGGCCAGTAAACTTAAACTAGGAACGTCAATATTAGTTATTAAATCTTTGCTGAACTTTGTTTTAAACGAGATGTTATTTTCCATATGCAATGTACTGATAGGTTAAAAACAGTTATTATTAAGCCCCCGAAACTTAATTACTCAACTTAATGGTAACGGTGGTTGAACACATGAAGCCTTCTCATTTCCTCTACCTTTAATGGCCATATTCGACGGGTATGCAGTTGAACAGAACGAACTGCAGCGCAGTACAATCGACCTTTAATAAACAATGGTATATTACGGTGGGATTATAAAAGGCCAGATGGTGAAAGCCAGGCAATCCGTTTGTACCTGTGCGGAGGTTTCTTCGACCACTAACCCACCGGGGTTGAGTCGACTTCTAGGGTGAGTAAAGTGGTCAAAGTGCTCAGCCAGAAGTACATATGATAGCTACAGTGAAAACAAAAGGCACTATTTTAATAAATATTCAATTATTGGGAAGTTCACATGATTATTTCATGACACAATACATCTTACTGTTGAAATAAGTGACAATTTCCGCAGGACACAACTGTTTGCTGGGAATGAATGACGTGGAATTCAAGTGAATAAGAATATAAACACAAGCCGATAAGAAACGATTAATACAGAAATAGTCACTTTGAGTCAACAGTTTTGCAAACGAATGTTTTCAAGATTAGTATTATTGCACGGTTAGAATAACCTTTTCGGATACTTAAACATATTTGGATACATCGACAGAAATTGGTCAATGGCTTCTCCAAGGTATTTTCCATCTTAACGAAAGTGGTAGTATAGCTACGCGTTTTCGCGTAATAACAAGATTTATCTATAACAGGTCAGAAGTTTGTATCTCAGCATCTTACTGGCTTACTAAAATGTTCAGTATTGGAGAGGATGGCTAATAATCTTGATTATTTGAGGTTATTCCAATCAATCGGTATCATCATTAGCGTTCATGTCCGTCCTGCTACTTTATATTCATAGTAATTAGCATTTCGGTAGAAAATGGAATAACTTTAACCCTACCTCTTCTTGAGTCCTCTTTCAAAAAATAATTGGAAAGATAGCCCTGTAATGTACCTAATAGCGGAGTCAAGTCAACACCTAGAAAGTTAGATCAATCCTGATACTTTAGTGACTGGCAAACTCTCTGTACCGATACGAAATACTGGATTCGATCTTATCAGTTTGCACCATTTATGTCACTGTTATGATATTGGGTTGTCTATTTATGGTTGAGTGTACTTATCAGCTGTTCACCATCTTCTACTAAATGACTGTGCGGCAGTCACTAAAAGTTATGACAGAGAGATGACTTTAGGTGTTCAACCACTGTTGTGTCTCCGGTTGTGTATCGTAAAACCAACAAGTTTATGACGCAGGAGTCAGATGTCAAGATTTAGTATGAGAGATACGACACTTAGTTGAGGTTGTAAACGTTCACCAACTGAGGTGGTCGGGATATACGTTACGAAGGCCCATTTATTGTTTACGTCGTCGTGCAATGTTATGAGAATTGGGTGTAGGCTGAATAAAGGTCACAGGTCTCCAGACCAAAACATGACATGTGTTCATGAAGTTTTGACTGTTGGTCTGAACCTTTGAGGGGAAGTGTAGGATTTCCGGTCGAGTTTGTATAGCAAATGAAGTCGATTTTTTGAGACTGTAGGTGACTTAGCTAAGAATTGACCTCATTGGCATAAATAAATTCACAAATTATTTCCATCATAATGATCATACCAAAGTGTGTTATGGTTTTATTTCTTCTTATTCTCAACTTTGTACTTTTTTGGTGACATTCTTCTTCACCATTTCGCTATCTTGCAACTTTCTGCCTTATAACTACTGATTTGGGCTACTACAAGTTGGACGGTTACGAAGTAATTTCAGATTGTATGTTGATATTGGCTGACTGAGTGAAATCCTAGTTAAGTTTAGATTAGTCCACAGTTTAATGCACCAGTAATTACCAATCAGGTTTGTAATAAGTCTCAATGTTTACTTATAAGGATGTAAGTTAGACTCCTAGTGTCAGTAAGCATTTGTTTTCTCTTTTTTCAAAACTTACCCCAAAAAGACACTCATAGCGTGTCACACAGAGTTCAAAATTAATCGAAATTATTATAATGGCTTAGAATAGATAACACTGTAGTTGGGTGTATGACCGGTTTTTTGTATGACATTATTTTCAGTCTATAAAATGTTGAGAATAAGTTTCTATAATGCATCACAGTGATAATAACTATGACAACAAACATCAAAATCAAGTCAATCACTACCTTTTTTGCAAATTGTATACAATTATTCAAAATAAATTTAATTTATTTCGTAACAATAACGTTTTTTTTCTTCAGCGTAGTTCTTTCAGATAAATACTTACAGATCTTGCTATGTCTAGCCCAGATGCTTCATTGATAGTTGCCCGTGTAGCTTTCTTCATATCGTCTTCCATAAATGCCATTCCCTTTAAAAAAGATTTGAAAAAAATATCCTAGTGAGAAAAGTTGACTAAGGAATATGATTTGAAAGTTTCTGCTTACCTTTCAATAATATAAGTGAAAAACTTGGTCAATGTGGTAGAATGTAATTCCATATTAGATTTGTTTATTTGATATATAGCGCACAGTGATACAGTATTATTTAATTGATTACGTTTCGAGCATAAATTATCATTGCTCATAATCATATCAATGTATCACACTTCTTTCGTTATCTGATTTTATAGTCCTGTCACCTGATCTCTCTTTGTTTTTTGATTGGTAGTAAAGTTTTCCATATCTCTGGTATAGGTGTTGCGTCATTCCTATTCCACATGTGTTGGGTGTGGATTCGATGAACAAAGATTCAGTAATTAATCTCTCTCTCCACCTAGCTATATTAGACTTAAGTACAGTGGTTTTGTCCCACCCCATTGTGTGGTTGTGTGTTAATGAATGTAATGCAATGGCCGAGTGTTTTTCTAGGTTATTGATCTTATTGGGGTCTGTTGTTCTATGTTTAAAACAATTAGTTCCCTTGATAAACTTCGACAAAACAATAAGAAGACGTAAATTGTCTGAACCGTGTAATGTATTTGCGCAACACATTTCGATCACATTTTGTGATCAGATAGTTCGAAATGTGTTGCGCAAATACATTACACGGTTCAGACAATTTACGTCTTCTTACTGTTTTGTCGAAGTTCTATGTTTAGCTAAATTCCTATGTTCTGCTAATCTAACTGACCCCGACTGGCTAGTTTGACCTATGTATTTGACCTCACAGTCATTACATGGAATTTGGTAGATTATATTATTTTGCCTAATTGGTTCTATTGGATCTTTTAGCCGACAAAGCTTAGGGTGGCATTCAAACCAACAAACTCACTTAGAGGTAAGCTTTGTCGGCTAAAAGATCCGATAGAACCAATTAAGCAAAATAATATAATCTACTAAATTCTATGTAATGACTGTGAAGTCAAATACATAGGTCAAACTAGCCAGTCGGGTCAGTTAGATTAACAGAATATAGGAATTTAGCTAAACATAGAACAACAGACCCCAATAAAATCAATAACCTAGAAAAACACTCGGCCATTGCATTACATTCATTAACACACAACCACACAATGGGGTGGGACAAAACCACTGTACTTAAGTCTAATATAGCTAGGTGGAGAGAGAGATTAATTACTGAATCTTTGTTCATCGAATCCACACCCAACACATGTGGAATAGGAATGACGCAACACCTATACCAGAGATATGGAAAACTTTACTACCAATCAAAAAACAAAGAGAGATCAGGTGACAGGACTATAAAATCAGATAACGAAAGAAGTGTGATAACATTGATATGATTATGAGCAATGATAATTTATGCTCGAAACGTAATCAATTAAATAATACTGTATCCCTGTGCGCTATATATCAAATAAACAAATCTAATATGGAATTACCTTTCAATAAGATTTTCACGTAACTGTTAAATTTCCCATAAAAAACAACACAAAAATATTTCACACTACTTGAGAAACCGAACAATTGATATTGAAACTTTACAGTATCTCGGTTACATAATGTGACAACAAAATTTACCCCACCAAATTATTTAATGTCACTGAGATATTTCTGAATGAGTAAATTTGCTGGAATGAAAACTTGGTCGACTAAAGTATCCCGTGCAATTGGTTTCATAGGATCGTTAGACTGATAAGGTTCCCTTATAATTGACTTCGTTGTTATAAATGCCACTGAAATCTCTGCCATTGTTTAGAGTACAATATTCTCCTTTGTTGCAACACTATAGAAGTCTTGATTTCCTTCTTACATGTGTTACAATGACCATTCACATTGTCATTCATTCTTATCTTTTATGTTCTTACGAATTTCCAAATCACTTGAGGCTAATTGTTGAGTAAAGGTACTTTTTTCCTTTGCTTCATTTTCCTATTAAAGTCCTTTAATTTATTGACCCTATCAGTAGGTCGATTATTTAAATACTTCAATGAAAGCTACTTTCATTGATTTCATATAAACAGACCTGAAGTCTAAATAATGAATAAAATGTGTTGGTTTATAGTAAACAGAAGTATTTTGCAGTTCAATCTTTTTATTCACCTTTTTACTTGTAAATGGATTGGTTTATATGTCTATGTGTTTAAAACAGCTGTTGATATGATGCATTGAAGTAGAATAGGAAACTAACAGTCCATCAAATTATCTATCTAACAACAAAAAAGTCATTTAAGAAACCCTAACAAGCTACAGATTATGATCAATGAATTTGTTCTAGCTGGCTGAAGTGATACTAAGATTTGGTTAGAAGTTTGATGTCATGACTTCATCAGCAGATTTCCTGGAAAGTAATTCACAAACTGTTTGTTTGAATTTTATCATAATACAGCTCTTCTATCCATATCATTATCACCCATTGAATATATGTACCCAGTTTAAATAAATATTTGCTCGAAACTCATATTATTTTACATTTTTATTCAGACTTAAGATTCAACACTGTGAAAAGTAAAGGAAGAGGTGATGTAGACATCGGTGCATATTTTTAATCTCATCAAGGTAGATAAAAAATTCCCACCATCTAAAACTAAACTACTGATGTGTTGAATAAATTGATAGAATGTATTAATCTTCGTAGAAGTTCTTGATGGTTGAACTTTAAAGAAAAATTCACTGATGGCAAGATTAGAACCAGTAGTCACCAGGTTTTAGATTTTTACATGATCATGTTATTATTTCACTTCCGAATTGTGTACATAGTAAATGTTTTTGAATACTCAGTAATATAAACTATATGATTTTTACTTTTGCTTTATTAAGTGTGTAGTACTTTCTTAAAACAGAATCTGGTGTATTATAGCTGGAATTCACAACTGCTAACAATTACAAGTGGGACTGTCAGACCGGTGCAAGAAGAACAATAATTGTATATGTAATTTTGTTTGTTTCCAGTACTCCGGCAACTCGCATAATGCAAGCGATTCCAAACACCTCAATCGACTTCAACGGCACAATAATATATAACCGTATTTACAGTAGCTTGGTCATAGTAACACAGACGACGGATAATCAGTGGAATCGCTACGGTGCAGTAAAACTTAATCAGGCCAACAGGCGTAGAATTCTGTTAAGCTTGTCCAGCCATCATCACATGAAGCGCTTAACCAGGCCGAAAACAGCATAAAGTTCAAGACCAGCTAAAGAAGCTTTCATAAATCAATGTTATACCTAACAACTCCTTAGTACTTTGGTAGCGAAAGTTGGTCCGCAGACCGTGACCGTGACCGATAACCTGTAAGACATGGACAACTACGTCGATCACTTACTGGTGATCAAGCTATGCACTACCAGTAATCCGTATTCAGGATAACCAAAAGAGCAAAATAGCGGAGAACGCTTACACTATTCTATCTAACAACAATGATAACTGTGACTGGGTAATCAAGCAGACTATACATTAAACAGAAAAAAAATCTTTATAGAAAAGCAGGCAAAATATTCTAAATCTGATAGGAGATTACCAGGGAGAAACTGTTCTATTTTTATTTAACTTGTCTAGCGAAATTTTGAAAGAAAGAATTAAAATGCAATAAAAAAGGTGCTTGTGAACCAGCATTCTTGGCAGCAGTGGTGACATCCTTAGAGATAGCAGAGACAGAAAACTAGATTGAACAGGATATGTGGAAACTAGTCAATCTTCTAAAGAGTTGGGGGAACACCATATTCAACTGATCACTGGATAGAAGAATCCGACAAAAATCTGACTTGTAAATAAAAGAAATCCAATTATTTCGCTTTCCCTTGAAATATTATCAAGAAAAGATGAAGTGACAACAACCAATGTAGAACCTGGTTAAGAAGTGCTTTAGTTCAGGTTGCCATGCATCATGTCAGCATACAAAAGGATGAGAAGAAGCACAATCGGAGAAAATGCCTTTATTGGTATTTAAAGGTTTATGTAGGAAAAGTCAAACTTGGAAGGAAAAATAATACACTTAATGTTCAATGTTAATATTCCTTACTGGGGGGTAAACAAGTTAAGCACTTATACAAAACAATGCAACATAAGGTGACACTTTAAAGTAAAACATGTTGATTATAAACTAACCGCGTCAGAAAAATTGAAATAATATTTTGATGCATTGTAAATTTGATCAAGAACACACTTCTTATGTTCTTTGTACCTACTAATAGTTTCAGATGACCAAAGTGATTGCATATCACCTTCTTTGAGCACGAATGAACCTTAAAAATGACACGAAAAAAGTAGGAAAAACAGATTAAATGGTTTACTTTACCTGGGAAGTTTTATTGTAAATAACTTTCTCTGCCTATCCTACTGTTTGAGATAGATTTGGTTTGGCAGATTGATGTCATTACAAATCACAAGTGGTTGAAGTTGAAACCGAAATTTGAGTCAATGTAGGTGTTAATGACCACTAGTCAGAATCCTGTCAATACGAAGAGTTTTCCAGTTAAGAGGTTTATTGTGATTTATTGATTTCATGTCGGTATTCATAACAGATTGACATCCGCTGGAGAACTGTGAGACTCCTGGAAGTACTGGAGAGATGTTTCGTCCCCATCAGTGCGCAGTCATGATAACACCAGGGATCGAACCCATGAACTTCAAGTCCTTTGGTGAACACGTTACCATCGTACCACTAGGCTGAAATCCAGTGTATCTATAGGGAAGTATTGGCTTAATGGTTAGTGTTCGCTAAACAAACGAAACAGGTGCCTAGGGATTTTTGAATGAATTCCACAGAACTGATCTTATTGACATATACGAAACTCCTATTTATTTTCAACTCAACCTGTTGAGTTTTTTTATTATCGCATTGTTGTTCCTTGTATTTTTTCCCGTTTCGTGATCTACAACTGCTGATACGGTGTTTCATTAAAACGTCTCCTTTCTTGTTGTCTTTCCCACTTATATGCGGACATGAAGTGTAGAAACTTAGAATGATGTTGTTATATGCCAGTTATTATCCAATATGTTTTTGTTTCTTTAAAAATCAGTTTCCTTGAGAAAAGCGAGTATCTTACAAAAGTCATCACACTGATACTTTCAGCCTGTAAGATTAACTGGTTGACTGATATCGGTGAGAAAACAAAACGAGCAAAGTACTAGTTCCATTTCGGATGATTTACTGAATGTGCCACACAGTAAAACAGCAATAATTATCATTGGTACAATGATCCAATTTATAATGTTTCTTTAATGTATGGTGCATCTAATAAGTCAGAGTAGAGATGCAATAATATCCTGCCACAGTACTCATATCTAATCTTTATGCTTAATGGTGGGTAGTGGCTAGCAGCAACTTCCGCGACGCTGGGTTTCTCCTATCTAGGACTCCTCAGCCGGATGTTCCAAACGGGACTCGGACTCGGGATCGGTCGTTTTAAAAGCCAGAGCATTACCCTCTAGGCCACCGAGCCAAGATAAGCGCTACTTTTGCAACGCGTTTAGTTTTAGTGTTATCACTTGCATTAGCCCGTCGTTGCTTCGACCGAACTGATCGGCCTCAACTGATAAAACCCAAATAGGAGGAAACGCGCATCCTGGATTCCATTGCTAGCCACCATATATCATTAATATACAATTAAAACACAGGCGATATCGAGGCATCCAGGCAGGAGCTCATACGCCAATAGAGACTGACCAATTCAGTCCAGTCAACGATGAGATAATACAGGCAACCATATTAACCTTTATGAAACTGAAAAAATATGGTTTTCTTACATGAAGACAAATCAACAAACCTATACAACTTTCACAGATAGAAGCTAAATTCACACATCATCTTGTATTCAATATTCACTGTTTTAAGAATCTAAGTTTTCTACAATATCCACTTCAGCATGCTTCCATTCCAACAGACAAAATCAAAGTAATAGCAGAGCTTGTCAGAATCCAATAAACAATATTGTTTCACTGAGTCATGCATCTAGTAAATCTACGGAAATAGAATTCAGTTTGGACGTTTATGTAGACTTACTGGTTTCAAGACGGTATTCATCAGAGATTGGTTGGAGAACCACTGAATACTTGGGAGGGCTGGACAGCTAATTCGTCCTATTGCGGGACTGCTCAGGAGTGTGTATACATGACTTCACCTGAGACCGGACCCCCTGACCTTCAAGTTTTGTGGCAAGCATATTGCCATTGATCTCCTCAATAAGAGTTCACTGGTTCATATTTTCCTACCTTTTTCAGTTCTCTATACAGAATCACATTCTACCACATTAATACTGCTCAGTTTGTGGTGAGAATTATTTTCAAGCCGATGCACTGATTGACAAAAATCTCAGTAACTTATATTACAGTCTTGTTGATGGTTTGCACCGCAGAAAGTGTTGATATATTTTGGGGAAACTTGGAGCGAATTAAAAATGCAAAGTGACATGGAGGGTGGGATTAATGTCCATTAAAATACTCTATGATATTTACAAGTTAAGTATTTCAGTAGTCATGTTACTGAGGCATATGAATTTTAAGTTACATTTTAAACAGAAAGATACCATTATCATTTGTTTATATAATCTTTTACTCTCAACAAATCTGACTACACCTAATATACAGGTTAACCTATTAGGTCTATAGTCGACTTTAGGAATGCTATAACTTACAAATAGTCTAATGTTTTAGTCATGGCACAATTTTCTGTCGTAAAACGATCAGAATCTCAAGTTACTAATCGGTTGTAAGATAAAATGCAGATTAGATAAAATATAGCTGAAACAGAATAGAAAACGATGAGTTATGACAAAGTAAACCTCGGCACTGGCGCAACAGTTAACTTAGTTCAATAAATGGTTGTCTTCGTGTATTCATAAATTTAATTGCTCATGTGGAAGTAGTTACAAAAGTAGCAACACCTCGTAAACATATCACTGCTAAATTGAATACTGTACAAAATGGTGCAAAAATTTTTCTTCGCTGCAACCACGTCTCATCTTTTCCAATAATCGAATGGGTGTATTCAGCGATCTTTAAATTACTGAAACGGAAAACTTAAAACCGACCTTTCTGGCTAATGACTGAAAGTTGTAATTTCCAAGTTAGTTTATGTGAACAAACACGAATGTTGCACTATACTGATAATACTTTGAATACTACACTTACCGTATTCTCCGACTAGAATACCGATTGCAGTACCAACTAGACTACCCATCCCACCAAAATTTAAAGCTGCTGGTAAATTATGATGATATATGGGAAGTTGAAGCATTCCAGGTGGGATAAATACTTCATCCATTTGCAAATATAAGGCTATATGTGTATCATACACCATAACATCTCTTGAGTTCCAATTCTCTTCACTTGTTTCAGTTACACCTGACATTAGACGGTTGTAAACACCACGAGTATATTGAACTGCTGAGAACAAATTGTTTAAGTAATTGTATGAAGTTCGAAGCTGATTGGATAAATGAAAGAATTCAAAAAAATGATATTGTGATTTATTCAAAAGGCTATGCATAGGTGGTTTACCTACAAGAAGTTGACATTAGCAGTGTAGAGAAATTATTTCTATCATAAAAATCTAAAGTGGTAAATTGTAAGCACTGCTGATAACTTATATTCACTGAATAAGAAGCAGCTATCCAGATAGCTAGTTCAGTGGACATTCCATTGATTACTGAGACTTTGATAAGATTCGTAGTAAAACAGAACATGCATTCTCAATAGCAATGATATCCACCATGAGAATAATGTTGCAAATACTCAATCTGTCCACAGTTAGAATTTGAAAGTAATATGGAATTTTCAGCGCAAATTGAAAAACTTATCATAATTTATCGAATTTATTATGTGGTTTGTTAGGATTTGGCTGATTTGTAGATGTTTGTCAGTCACAAGTTGATAACATTAATATGAGAAGAAAACTTGAGCACTGAGGTAGAATGTTATTCCACTTTAGTTGGTGTTTTAGACTTATCAGTTTTGTTCACTGGATTACTTTTTGGACATGATTTATCGTCCATAGTTATATCAAGATAAATACACAACGTTGAGATATCCTTTATATAGTTCTTATTTTATTGACTTCTTTGTGATATGGGTAGTAGGATTTTCCATATGTCCGGAACAGTTGCTCAGTCGTTCCTGTTGAATGTATTGGGTAGTGGTTCGGTAAATAAAGATTCAGGTTGGAGTTCATCATCGGCTGACATCAGTCCGAGGTATACTGAAAATCTCGGAGCACTGGACAGCTGTTTTGCCCTAGTGTAGGACTTCTCAGCAGTGCTCACCTATGACGTCGCCAGAGTCCGGACCCAACGCTTTCAGGTTCCATGGCCAGCAAGTCATCACTAAGCCACTATGTGGGAATCTAATGGTCTATATTTCATAATTCTGCCACTTCCAGTGTTTCTCCAACTTATGTTAGTCCATGATGAATTCCAACCGGAAATCAATCAATAAATTTCCATAAACCTCCAGAATGAAGTAAAGTTTCAGTTATCACTCGCTCCCTCCACCCCAAAAGGTTAGTTTTAAGGATTTTCAATCTGTCCTATCCTTTTATGTGGTTAGGTGTAATTGGTTGCATAGCCATGGCTGAGCTTTTTTCTAAATCCCTTAACTTACTAGGACTTAGCAACTTTCATCTAGCTAGGTTTTTCTTGAAGGAATATCCTAACTGACCCTGGTCGACTACTTTGACCTATATATTTGACCTCGCAATCATTTAAACTGATTTGGTAAACTATGTTATTCTGCGTAATTGGATAAATGGGATCTTTTAACCTACAAGGCTTATTTCTGAGTGAGTTTGTAGGTTTAAATGCCACTCTAATCCCAGCCTTATTGATATCCCTACATAGTGTTCCTGACGAGCCCTCTCTGTATGGAAATACTATCGACGTTTTTAATCCTCTGTTTACAGTATTGTCACTATTACTCTTAACATTAACGTTAATATTATTAAAGTTTGTTTTGCTGATACTGGTCACATTTATCCTATCATTCATAAGGAAGTTATCAGTTGATTTGGGAAGGTAATTAGTGATGAGTAAGGTGTCCTTAATGCATCCAGTTTCTTGTCTTAGATTTTCTGTTTCGATATTAAGTTTTCTGGCCCTGTTACTTAGACATTTTGTTAAGCCAACTGGAAGTAAAAGTTGACAACATCAGACAAGTGGAAAATTGCAAACCTCTCAGTACCCATTTCGTTCACCTTTTTAAAGTTTTTCAAACACACTTACATGCAACCATGAATGGAAATCAACTCATGGCTAATAACACTGTTGGCTATCAGATAATCATTCAGCGAGTTAGTTGACATCTAATATTACTAAATTTTCCAACTTATTACCAATCATAATATAGCAGCATTGTAATTCACTATCACCGGTCCGTGTCCATACCCATTCACAATTTACTTTGCTCCTCTTATAATATTATCAGATCTGAATATTCTACAATTTCTTTCATGCTTATTTTATCTCATCTAATATTGAATACTGAGGTGGATAGTCAATAATTAAGCGTAAACATTTCCCAAGCACCTTCTTAAATAAGGGTTAGTACCGATATTCATTAACTTGCATATCCCTAATCATCTCGTATCAGCATTACTTAGTTGATGATCACAGTATAAACTAGATTCTGCATCGAAGAGCTTGGTAATCAAATATCTACAGACTTAGTATTTTTGTTGCATCCAATTGTTGTTATTCTAAATCATGCATTAAGTTAGAGAGCTCTAATGTACGTCCTGCGGTCTGTCATTATCTTAGAATGAAGTATAATATCTGTTTCTACAAGTGGTAGGAATCCCTGATTATCTGTGCATCATTTTGCACCAGCGACCAATAATTCAAGATTTACAAAAACATTGACGTAAGCGGAATGGTAAATTATTCAAATGATAATTAATGCCCAGTATTAGGATAACAAACCTCGCCTGGTTAAATAGTTCACTAGTTACTAGCCAGTCATAAGCAAGGATAAAGAGCGAATGTTGGGCATAGGCCCAGAAACCCTAACCAGTAAAACCAATCCAACCACCAAACAAACTTCAAAACACTAACAAAATATAAAAAATAAAAACAAACTTATTCCTCTCTGCAATCAGGGAGGCGAAATGACGCCGTTGGTGAAAGCCTTGGAGAAGCCAGTTGGCCGATGTATCCTGTCCATCTCTCTCTCTCTCTCTCTCTCTCTCTCTCTCTCGATAAAAGCAAAAATAAGAATGGGGACATGGAATGTCCACACCATGAATGAACCTATCAAGGCTGCTCAGATTGCAGAAGAGGTGAGGGGGTATAGCATAGCAGTGCTTGGAATGTGTGAGGAATCAGCAGATGGAATGGGAGTGGACTCTCCAAACTGTCAACTGGAGAGCAGGGTCAATAATCTACTCCGATATTGTCACCCAGACGACAACCACAAGCACACTGAATTTTCGAGTGGTTATCATGATGTCGCCAACAGCATGGAAGGCTGTCGTGCAGTTGGAACCAGTCTCCTCCTGACAGGATCATGACAGGATCATGACAGCCAGATGGATTCAACTCGAAACGAAGCAAAGTCACAATCACATACAATGCTACACTGAGCACCTACAAATAATGCAGATGAAGAGAAGCAGGAGGAATTCTACAGACAACTGCAATCAGTACTCGACAAGATCCCACTCTGCAGTTGGCAACATCAAAATTCTGATGGTTGGGGTGACATGAATGCCAAACTGAGAGGAGCGGACAACACAGGAAGAGAACTCATCACACGTGGAGAAGGACCCGGTGAAGTGATGAACGAGAATGGAGAAGTGTTTGGAGACTTCTGCGCATTCAACGCTTTGGTGATTGGAGGGGAGGCAGTGTGTACAAACACAAGGATGTTCACAATGCAGTGACATGGATTTGATTTCACCAGACACCAGACACACCACACTACACTACACTGCACTACACTACACTACAAATCAGATCGACTTGATCTCAATGTTTAGTAAGTGGAGACGCAGCCTACTGGACACGAGATCAGATGAGATGAGATGAGATGAGATGAAGAAGATGAGGAAGAGGAGGAGATGTAGGTGGTTCACACCATTCACTATCACTGGTGCAATCAACCTACCTTCAACGTCAGGCTGAAAGCCATCAATTCAAAGAAGTTGGTGATGGACGACAGTTTGAGTTGAACACCCAGAACAGACAGTGAACTGAAGGACGAAACTCCAAGGACATCTCCACGTCAGTCAGCCATCAAGATGAAATATGAGAGCAATGTGGAGCAACATCCTAGAAGGAGCCTGCATGGAGGCACACTGGAAGGAACTCTTTGGAAGCTATGTGGAAGGGAACCTGCATAAGCGTATCAGGAGTGAATAGGAAAGAGGACAAGGAATGGATGTCGAGGGACACGTGAAAGCTGATAGAGTAGGGAGAGGAGGATGGTGATGGTGAAGCAGAATATGAACCAGTGCGAGGATAAACAATGATAAGAGGAAGTGAGTACAACGTATAGAACACTGGACGGAAGAGAGAAGAAGAGAGCGCGTAAAGACGAGAGATAATTCTACGACACATTTGCAAGTGAATCAGAACAGGCTGAAGGCTGCTGGTAGGAGAGACAGAGACCTGACAACATTGTATCAAATAACCAGGTTACTCACTATCTGGGAGAGAAGAGATCAACGTACACAATCTAGGTTTGCAGTTTTTCGATATCTAGCATCAAATACTCAACACAAGGTAATTTTTATCTATGTTTCTGGACGTAATGATTTCCATATTTGAAGGCTTGTTATTCATAATGACAACTTACATATACAATCTTGCTGTTGTTCGTTTACTTGAATTTCTGACCTGGTCTGTAGACCGATCCTACGTAATATTTTATATTCTAGCCTCTTAGAAAGCAATTTTTCAATGTGAATCTAACTACTTTTCTTTAAAGAAAATTCAAAGTTTTCAAAGATAAACAGTAATAAATAATCTTACTGTTCTATAAGCATAATTCAACTTTTGATCATTACGCATGATTTCGGGTACTTTGTATAAGACTTTCATTTTAGTAATCTGAAAAAAAGGAATATATAAGCAAACAATTAATTTCATATGAATTTATTTTATGCACGAAAAGAGATAGATTTATTTTATATCACTGAAGTCTGAAGTGGTACGACCACCTTTTCAGCGAGCAAGAAGCGCTCTTTGAGGCCATGAACGAGAATGGAGAATTGTTTGCAGAATTCTGTGCATTCAACGATTTGGTGATTGCAGTGAGGCACAAGGATATCCACAAAGCGACATGGATTCGATTTCACCAGATGGACACACTAAAAATCAAATCGACTTTATCTCAATCTCAAGAAAATGGAGACGCAGTCTACTTGACACAAGGTCAAGAAGAGGAGCAGATGTAGGTTCATACCACTCACTATCTAGTGCAAGGAACCTTCCAAGTCAAGGTGAAAGCCTTCCATAAAGCTGGTGATAGACCTCAATTCAAGTACAACACTCGGAAACTGAACTGAAGGAAGAAACTACAAAGGAAATCTTCAAGGCAGTCAGCCATCAAGACAAAATGGGCGATATCGAGGAACATCCCTGAAGAAACCTGTGTGGAAGAACACTGGAAGTCTTTGAAAGCTATGTGGGAAGAAACCTGCACAACAGTATTAGGAAGGAAGAAGAAAGAAGACAAGGAAGGAATGGATCTCGACGGATACCTGGAAGCTGATAGAGTGGGGAGAGGAGGATGGTGATGGTGAAGCAGAAGATAAACCAGTACAGGCAAGAATGCTCAACGACAAGAGGAACTGAGTACAATGTATAAAACACTGCACTGGACAAAGAAGTGAAGAAGAGTGTAGGGAAAGACAAAAGACACTTCTACGAAACACTGGCACGTGAAGCAGAACAGGCTGCAGGCTGCAGGTAGGAGAGACAGAGACCTGACAACATTGTATCAAATAACCAGGTTGCTATCAGGGAAGAGATCAACGCAGACGAAGCCAATAAAAGATGATGACGGAAATTTAATTACGAACGAAGAGAAACAGAGGAAACGATGGGCCGACCACTTCAAGAAGCTCTTGAATCGACCACCACCATCAACACCACCACCACCTGCACTTCGTCCAGAAATACCACCTGCAGCCCAGCTGCTGAACTACAAGTGAACATAAATCCTCCAACGAAAATGAAAGTCCTGAACAACATAAAGCTACTGAAATGTTGGAAAGCATCAGGACCAGATGGTATCCCGCCAGAAGCACTGAGAGCAGATGCAGAGACAACAGCGGACATGCTCACACCACTACTGCAGAAGGTGTGGAAGGAAGAGAAGGTACCTGACGATTGGAAGAAGGGTTACCTTGTCAAACTGCCGAAGAAAGGAGACCTCAGTGATTTCAAGAACTGGCGCGGAATAACTCTCCTGTCCACCCCAAGTAAAATATTAAGCCGCATCATCCTGGAGAGGCTTAAAGAAGCACTGGATTCAAAACTACTACCAGAACACGTTGACTGGCAGGATTCAGGAAGTACAAATCATGTGCCGACCAAATTGCAACGCCACACTACGCATCATCATAGAACAGAGCATAGAATGGCAATCAGCTCTCTACCTCAACTTCATCGACTTTGAGAAGGCCTTTGACAGCGTCGACCGACAAGTAATTTGGAAACTGCTTCAATACTACGGAGTACCGCAAACCTCCATCAGCCTCATTCAACAACTATATGAATATGCCACATGCCAAGTAATTCACAATGGGAAGCTCAGTGATGCTTTTGAAGTGACGTGAAGACAGGAGTGAAACAAGGTTGCCTACTATCCCCCATGATATTCCTGATTGTGGCTGACTGTACCGGATCTGGATTTCGCCGATGACTTGTGCCTGATGTCACACAAACTTGAAGATCCACAGGCGAAAACTAACAAGTTGGCAGAACAGGTAGGGCAGCGAAGACGGGACTTCAGATGAATATAGAGAAGACAGAGGTGATGATGATACCGCACCAACAACTCCAACAACAACAACAACAACAACAAACTCCAGTCACCATGAACGGGAGAAACTTGAAGGAAGTAACCTCCTTCACCTATCTAGGAAGCACTGTTTCAACTACAGGCAGTACAGGCACAGACGAGGATGTCAAAGTCAGAATCGGAAAAGAAGACAGGCCTGAAACCAGTGTGGAGATCTTCTGCACTCCACTCAGCATGTGGAACAAGATCCGGATTTTCAACACCAACCCAGTCAAGTCAATGCTTCTATATGGTTGAGAGACTTGGGGCGTTACGAAAGGGATTTCCAATAAACTACAGACATTCATCAGCAACTGCCTACCCTGGCTCGCTACTGAAGATCAGATAGCCAAAATAATGAGAATAAGCAGCAAGGAGCTCTGGGAACGAACCAACCAACAACCTATCACCCAAGGAATATGCAGCAGAAGGAAGTCGAGATGGATTGGGCTGGGCATACACTGAGAAGGCCGACTGGGGACATCATGCGTCAGGCCAGGTACTCGAGTGTAACCCCGATGGGAAGCGACGAGTTGGACGTCGGTGTTGAGGGTGACATGGAGGAGATGGTGCGAGGAGGAAATGAGAGGTTGTGGGCTGTCGTGGAGCCAGGTTCAAACGATTTCAGAGAACAGATTTCACTGGAGACGTGCTAGTGAAGCCCTATGTTCCATTAGGAACCCAAGGGACTAATAATAATTATAATTTAAGTGATGATACCTTTTATAATTAAAGTTTCAACTATTGAAGATAACTCCTATGTTGACATTAAAACGTTTACTTTTGGAAACTCAAAATCAAAGAGAAATAATACAATTGTAACACTCGATTTGAGTTGAAAATATTTACAACCATATCAGATTATTCTTTGGTTGTTTAAATTACCTTCTGTAACTTTTGGTAGACAAACTAGTAGCTATTTATAGAGACTAATATTTAAGATTGAAAACAAACCTTGATTTTGGATAGAATTTCAAAAAGTACTCTCTATAATTATGTTATGTAAATTCATCAATCAGACTATAAGAGAGAATCACTCATCACGTCTCATTTCCAAGTATCATCATCCACTCATTTTAATAAGTTTCTGAATACCTATCTTAAATATTAAGAAGTAAGACTTATTTTCATTTATAAGTTGTACATATACATGATGTCTTCCTATGTGAATCAAAACAGTCGGCATTTTTGGCATACACAAAGATACTTCAATTGAAAGTTACCGCTTATCTGAGACATGTGATGATTTGTTAGCGTAGGCCATGTCGAACAGTTTGAACATAGACCAAAATATGAAGATATCTACAGTCAAGTTTTTTTACTCTATTCCATTCAATGAACTCCCTAGTTTATCTGTTAAAATTTTGTTTTCTGTGTACACTATTTAGTTGCTGTGACATTCAAACAGAAAGGATTTGTGAACATTACTCTTCTCAGTATGTGTTACATAGACTTTAAGGCTGTAGTGCATACGTTATTTATAAAACATACACAATAAGTTTGCAGATTTATTCATTTAGTTTTGTTTTTTAGAAAAGTTAGTTAGAACTTCATTACCTGTTTCTTTTCAATGACATATGATAGAAGCCAGTTCAGTAGTAAAATTAATGTCAGTTTTAGTATTGCTTAAGCTTGTAGTTACGGGAGAAACATAAAGCAAGTAGTCTCTTTCACCTACCACCTAGGCAGCATCGTTTCACCTACAGACGACACAGTCACAGACGAGGATGTCAAAACTAGGATCGGGAAAGCAAGGCGGGCTTTCACTGATCTGAAATCAGTGTAGAGATCTATTGCACTCAGCGTGAAGCGTGAACAAGATCCGGATTTTCAACACCAATGTCAAGTCAGTACTGCTATTTGTTTCAGAAACTTAGCGTGTCACAAAAACTATTCTCAACAAACTACAGATATTCATCAACAACTGCCTACGCTCTATGTTGAAGCTCAGATGGCCAGAAAAATAATAAGCAACAAAGAACTCTGGTTATCAACGAACCAACCAAGAACCCGTTGCCCAACAAATATGCTGTAGAAGAAAGGGGAGATGTATTGGGCAAGTACTTATAGAGAGTGAGAGTGATTGAGAAGCTAATATGAGCTACTTGATAAGGTGAGAACAATGACTGCCAAGCAATGAACAATGGGGTAGTTTCTGTTTTGTTCTTCGGAGCTCTAGCTAGTGAAGTGAACGTCCGAGGAAATGGTATAGTTTATTGGACAATTCACAGTTATCTGCAACTAGGTAAAAACTCTCATATAGACATTTATCTTATTGTAGTCCAAAGGAACAAGATTTCTACAGTTATTAGACAATAGGAAAAGGTCAACACATACAAGTAGTGCAAAATGGACTTAAAATTGATGAAATAGGAACCTCGACAAAAACAGATATCTAGTGAACAGATTTACCTGCACTTAAAAGTTGAAAACAAAAAAAATACTTATCATACCCGGTCATCAACTTCTTTTCTTGTTTGTTCATCCATCCACTGAATTTGTTTTAAATGGTTCTTAAGACTTCTTCTTAGATATACCGTCATCTGTTCGACCTTGGAAGAAATTTATATTGTATATACAAACGTGGATATATATATATATATATATATATATATATATATATATATATATATATATATAATAGAATAGAATGTCACTTGCAGCGTCTCCCGTGAATCACAAACGCACAAACACACCCTTCGTCGCCAGTGTCATCATTTCTCGTTGAGCACGAATGTAGTTGATGTCAGCTTCGATGAACTCATCCGGATAACCGTTTCCACTTAGAATATCATGGATGCATAGTAGATGTTTTTCCACACACCCCTTGGAACAAATCAATCTTACTGTAAGTGCCTGACACCTTATTATATTATGTTTGTTCTCTATGAGTATGAAGCTGGGAAAGTGTATGTGCTGTGTCTTAAACTTCGGTTTTCTTTATACACTTCTGAGTATAGAGCCATCTTCTTTGCTTGTCATTAGCTCATCAAGAAAATGTATCGAATCATTATTCCATTTTCTTATGTAATATGAATTTATGGGTAAGCGCTGTTGACATGATTAGGAGTAGAATTAATGCAAAGACGTTTATCAAAAACTAAAATAGTATCATCCATATACCGAAACTTCAACTCCATATTTACGGTTTAGTCTTTCGAAGAACCATTTTTCAGTTTTGCCAGAAACATATCCTATAGCCACCACGTCAACCTGTCTGTACAGATTACTGTTGTAGATGAAGTGGACATTCACTGTGTATTTTAGCAATGGTTTCTTCAAATTCACAATAGGAATGCCAGTGTCTCGGATTGCCTTTCCAATAACTGTTCACAAATACATTCCCCAGTTTCCATTAGAGGGATGTTAGTGAACAATAATGTGACATGCAGAGATGTTATGCATTTGTTAAAAAGATTTAAGTCTTTTTCGTGGTTTGCAAACTGGGATGTGTCGTTTGCACTAGATGGAGCTAGCTAGTCACACAGAGGGTGAAGCAATCATACTAGCCATTTAGGAATAACATGGCAAGTTGAGTTGGTCATGTCTCGGATGGAACTGAAGAAGTGCTTCTGGTTTGTGCATTTTTAGTAGACCATACATCTGTGGAACTGTGCTGCCTATAGGCTTAAAACTTTCAACTGAGATTGATGATATTTATCCGTCATTTCTCCTCTTCCTTAGTGAGACGACTAAGTCTTTTTCTGCTTTTTTGCTCACGTCTTTCGCCGATTGTAGTTTCTGAAATTCGCTTTCGTCTTGCAATATTAAATCCATTTTCTGTACATAATCATCTCTATCCATAACTGTGGCTCGTATGCTTTTCTTAAGCCTTGTGATAATGAAGGTGTTTTGATCCTTTCTGAATATTTTGAGAGCCTCATCATGTTCTCTAGTCAATATAACTCTTGACACCTTTTCATTTCTTTCATATTGATATCAGTAGGTAACTAGAGTGGATTTTAATCCTTCGGACTCTGCACTAGATGATGCAACCGAATCGACCGCTTGTGCGAATGGATACCCAAATTGTACATCAATATTGATTTGGTTAATTTGTTTGTGAATGTCACAAGATTTAGTTTCAACAGACAGAATTTCAACTTGTTATTTATGAAGTTGGATATTTTCATGTTGAAATTTGACTGTTTAAACTCTTCAGTAGTAGTATTAGTTTCTATGTGAATTTGTATTTTGTAATTTGATTCACGTATTCCTTCAATTGCAGTCTCAAATCTTCTGATAATTCGAGAGATGCACAATTTTACTTTTGATATGTTGAACTTCAATTCGGCTGTGTTGACAGAGTGGCTGACAGAAGGTTAACTACATTATTGTTTAATCTTATAGACTGATAAGTTTGTTGATAAAGTATACAATTTTGATCTTTATCGCTAATGAAGCAGGACTGTATTTTTATTATTGTTTGTCCCTTGGGTTCCAAGTGAAATACAGGGCTTCAGTAGAACGTCTCCATTCCGCTCTGTTCTCTGCAATATTTTGAACCTGGCTTCACGTCTGCCCAAAAGCTCCCATTTCTTCCTCACACGATCTCCTCCACGCCACCCTTGGACGCCAAACTAGCCGTTTTTTTCTATCTAAGTTCCACTCGAGGGTCTGGCCTGGTGTGGCGCATGTTGTCCCCGAATGGTCTTCTCAGTGCATATCCAATCCATCTGCACTTCCTACTGCATGTTTGTTGAGCTAAAGGTTCTTGGCTGCTTCGTTGCCAGGTTCAGGTTAATGAACGACAGTCTTGCTTTTACGATCCTGGCTCTGACGTCCTCGTATTTTCTGTGTGTGGTTGAAACGATGCTGCCTAGATAGGTGAGAGGCGATACTTCCTTCAAGTTTCTCCCAATGACGGTGATTGTAGCTTGTTGTTGGTGGTGGTGTTGGTTTGGTATCATCATCACCTCTGTCTTCTCTACGCTCACTTGAAGCACCGTTTTTGCCGCCTACTTCTTCTGTCAACTTGTTAGTTTTCGCCTGCAGATCTTAGAGGTTGTGCCACAAGACATTCGACACAAGTCAATGTTGGCGAAATCCAAATCTTCTAGGATCTTTTCCCCAGTACAGCGTATACCCTCTGCTGGCTCCTCACTATTTGCTGCATGATAACGGTTTGTGGTTTTCCGTAATGTTGAAACAGTTACCAAATTACTTCTCGCTTGTCGCTGTCAAAGGCATTTTCAAAGTTGACAAAGTTGAGATATAGTGTTGGCTGTCGTTCTATGCTCTGTTCAATGATGATGCATAGTGCTGCAATTTGGTCCGCACATGATTTGTACTTACCAAAGACAGCAAACCTGTTCTGGTGATAATTTTGAAACCAATTCATTCTTTAGTCTCTCGAAGATGATGCGGCTTAATATTTTACTTGCTCTGGGCAGACAGAAGTGGAGCAAGATTCCACACCAGTTCCGGCAAACACTTAGGTCTCGCTTCTCTGGGAGTTTGACAAGGTAGCCTTTCTTCCATTTGTGATCGGCAGGTACCTTCCCTTCCTTCCAGACCTTCTGTAATAGTCGTGTGAGGATGTCTGTTTTTTCCCGGCGTCTGTTTTCAGTGCTTCTGGTGGGATTCCGTTTGCTCCCGCTGCATTCCCGCATTTCAGTAGCCTTATGCCATTCAAGGAATCTGGTTTGTCGGAGGGCCTGTGTTCACTGGTATTTCTGTGGTTGGGCTGCAGGTGGTATTTCTGGACGAAGTGCAGGTGGTGCTGGTGGTGGTCGATTAAAGAGCTATTCGAAGTGGTCAGCCTATTCTTTCATTTGACTCTCTTCTCTGGTAACTAGATTTCCTTCATCACCTCCGATTGCCTTCATCTGCGTTGATCTCTTCTCTCCCAGATAGTGAGTAACCTGGTTATTTGATACAATGTTGTCAGGTCTCTGTCTCTCCTACCAGCAGCCTTCAGCCTGTTCTGATTCACTTGCAAATGTGTCGTAGAATTATCTCTCGTCTTTACGCGCTCTCTTCTTCTCTCTTCCGTCCAGTGTTCTATACGTTGTACTCACTTCCTCTTATCATTGTTTATCCTCGCACTGGTTCATATTCTGCTTCACCATCACCATCCTCCTCTCCCTACTCTATCAGCTTTCACGTGTCCCTCGACATCCATTCCTTGTCCTCTTTCCTATTCACTCCTGATACGCTTATGCAGGTTCCCTTCCACATAGCTTCCAAAGAGTTCCTTCCAGTGTGCCTCCATGCAGGCTCCTTCTAGGATGTTGCTCCACATTGCTCTCATATTTCATCTTGATGGCTGACTGACGTGGAGATGTCCTTGGAGTTTCGTCCTTCAGTTCACTGTCTGTTCTGGGTGTTCAACTCAAACTGTCGTCCATCACCAACTTCTTTGAATTGATGGCTTTCAGCCTGACGTTGAAGGTAGGTTGATTGCACCAGTGATAGTGAATGGTGTGAACCACCTACATCTCCTCCTCTTCCTCATCTTCTTCATCTCATCTCATCTCATCTCATCTGATCTCGTGTCCAGTAGGCTGCGTCTCCACTTACTAAACATTGAGATCAAGTCGATCTGATTTGTAGTGTAGTGTAGTGCAGTGTAGTGTAGTGTGGTGTGTCTGGTGTCTGGTGAAATCAAATCCATGTCACTGCATTGTGAACATCCTTGTGTTTGTACACACTGCCTCCCCTCCAATCACCAAAGCGTTGAATGCGCAGAAGTCTCCAAACACTTCTCCATTCTCGTTCATCACTTCACCGGGTCCTTCTCCACGTGTGATGAGTTCTCTTCCTGTGTTGTCCGCTCCTCTCAGTTTGGCATTCATGTCACCCCAACCATCAGAATTTTGATGTTGCCAACTGCAGAGTGGGATCTTGTCGAGTACTGATTGCAGTTGTCTGTAGAATTCCTCCTGCTTCTCTTCATCTGCATTATTTGTAGGTGCTCAGTGTAGCATTGTATGTGATTGTGACTTTGCTTCGTTTCGAGTTGAATCCATCTGGCTGTCATGATCCTGTCATGATCCTGTCAGGAGGAGACTGGTTCCAACTGCACGACAGCCTTCCATGCTGTTGGCGACATCATGATAACCACTCGAAAATTCAGTGTGCTTGTGGTTGTCGTCTGGGTGACAATATCGGAGTAGATTATTGACCCTGCTCTCCAGTTGACAGTTTGGAGAGTCCACTCCCATTCCATCTGCTGATTCCTCACACATTCCAAGCACTGCTATGCTATACCCCTCACCTCTTCTGCAATCTGAGCAGCCTTGATAGGTTCATTCATGGTGTGGACATTCCATGTCCCCATTCTTATTTTTGCTTTTATCGAGAGAGAGAGAGAGAGAGAGAGAGAGAGAGATGGACAGGATACATCGGCCAACTGGCTTCTCCAAGGCTTTCACCAACGGCGTCATTTCGCCTCCCTGATTGCAGAGAGGAATAAGTTTGTTTTTATTTTTTATATTTTGTTAGTGTTTTGAAGTTTGTTTGGTGGTTGGATTGGTTTTACTGGTTAGGGTTTCTGGGCCTATGCCCAACATTCGCTCTTTATCCTTGCTTATGACTGGCTAGTAACTAGTGAACTATTTAACCAGGCGAGGTTTGTTATCCTAATACTGGGCATTAATTATCATTTGAATAATTTACCATTCCGCTTACGTCAATGTTTTTGTAAATCTTGAATTATTGGTCGCTGGTGCAAAATGATGCACAGATAATCAGGGATTCCTACCACTTGTAGAAACAGATATTATACTTCATTCTAAGATAATGACAGACCGCAGGACGTACATTAGAGCTCTCTAACTTAATGCATGATTTAGAATAACAACAATTGGATGCAACAAAAATACTAAGTCTGTAGATATTTGATTACCAAGCTCTTCGATGCAGAATCTAGTTTATACTGTGATCATCAACTAAGTAATGCTGATACGAGATGATTAGGGATATGCAAGTTAATGAATATCGGTACTAACCCTTATTTAAGAAGGTGCTTGGGAAATGTTTACGCTTAATTATTGACTATCCACCTCAGTATTCAATATTAGATGAGATAAAATAAGCATGAAAGAAATTGTAGAATATTCAGATCTGATAATATTATAAGAGGAGCAAAGTAAATTGTGAATGGGTATGGACACGGACCGGTGATAGTGAATTACAATGCTGCTATATTATGATTGGTAATAAGTTGGAAAATTTAGTAATATTAGATGTCAACTAACTCGCTGAATGATTATCTGATAGCCAACAGTGTTATTAGCCATGAGTTGATTTCCATTCACGGTTGCATGTAAGTGTGTTTGAAAAACTTTAAAAAGGTGAACGAAATGGGTACTGAGAGGTTTGCAGTTTTCCGCTTGTCTGATGTTGTCAACTTTCACTTCCAGTTGGCTTAACAAAATGTCTAAGTAACAGGGCCAGAAAACTTAATATCGAAACAGAAAATGTAAGTCAAGAAACTGGATACATTAAGGACACCTTACTCATCACTTTTTACCTTGAGCACTGTGGTCCATCGTATTCTATTGTTACTTGTAATTAGTTAACCGATTAGACCATTGACTTGAAGCAACAAATCTCTTTTATATCCACTTATCGGTAAGTGATGGTTGTAACCATATATGGAATCTTGAACTGATATCTACTGAAAAATCTGTGGTAGAGAAGGATAATCGAACTCTTTCCTCTTTCACTGTGAAGATTTATGGGAATGAACGTTTTCTGTGTTGTGAAGAATGAAGGGTGCTGCTTTCATGCCATGCTTTGATAGACTTTCTGGTTCGGCTATTGGGTTGGGATTCAACGAGGTTTTTTTGCCTTTTTCGTCTGAATATATGACCATTGCTAATGAAACTTTGTATTATTCCTGACGATGTATATACCTAGTACTCATTAGTAATTTATGCGTATAGCATAAACATCAATTTTCGATTTAAATTAAAGTCGCTTTTTAAATATCAGAACGTATTTCGTTAGGTTATGGTATTCATCAAAATTATTTACCTTTTATTAGTTCCGTAAATAATAAAATTTATTGACTTAAAGCATAATAATCCTAATAGTTATGTGTCATACAAGTTGTTACTGTTTTCAATCCATTATACACCCTTCCATCGTTTTACAGCATTCTCAGTTTGTGTTTCATTATAGAACTTAAGTGCCTATGGTAAACTGAATCTTTACAATCCACAATAATTCAGTATAACCTGTATAACTTCTCTTTGAAGTCAGTGTAGCAACCGCAGTCAGCGTTTGGAGACTGTAGTTTATGAGATTGTGAATAGATCTCATTGATGAAGATGTATTCAAACATTATCTACATCCTAATCAGCATATTATATTTCTTCATTCTCATCATCTCCTCTTCTCTTGACTTTCTCCGGCTTTTTCTCATATTTTTCTCCTCAATTCTCTATCATTTCTCTCGTCAACTTGTATCTTTATCTGCTGATGACCAGTGCGACACCTTGGACTCTTATATTGTAGTGCAAGGTTTCACGGGAATACTGGATGGTAAATATAATAATGACTAGTGGAGATGACAACAATTCAGTGTACGGTTCAGTATTACTATTATTAGTATCATTACGTAACTGTTATCCCATAACTACGTCGTAACTAACGGTAACCTGGCTTGGTTCTTGCGTGGCTAGTATTTGATATAAGGTTTCTTTTTATTAAGTAATGACTTCGACAAAAAATAATACTGTTTATGATGAAGCATATTAGTGTATTTTAGTATCAGATGCTCACTCATTCGTACGCTCATTCATACTTACCTCCTTCTCTGTTTCATTATGTAAATGTCTTTCAACGTAAACAGCACCGAGGACAGTGTCAAATAGTTCATGTGTCACAAAAAAGCATTCCAATTCCATAATATTCTCTGTGCTATAATAATATGATAAGTGTAGCATATAATATTCATAGGACAAATGCCACGCGTATGCTTCTAGAACATTCCAGAACATGTAGTTATTCATGATTCTGAAAAAAAAACAATTTTAGAATACTTTAGGACAAGACAAATACGTAAAATTTGTAGTGTAAAATTTCTATGTGTGATATTCTGTAAATCCTTTAGCTTAATGTGATAATCTCATGATAAATTTAATTTTCGCATCATTCGTCTTTAGACCTCCATTTCACCCTGTTGCCTTCTAAAGCAGGAACAAAAAAAATTTAAAAACGTGTGAAGAATATTACTTCACATCTTTGACAAAGGATGCATAAAACTGAAACCAAGCTTTCCAGTATCCACAGAAACTGAAAGCTGAAATTCCCCTGCATGAATTTTGACAAAGAAATCAGATGTTAATAATATGCATCTTGTAAAGCATTTGCATAAAATATGTCGAACAACCTGATTGCAAAACGTATTTGTTTCAAATATTTATAAAAAATCCAGTGGACATTTTCATTGAGTAAGAAAATGAAGAGATGTCTGATGAAGTAGTCCAGTTCAAGGTCAATATAGCAGTTAAACTAAAATGAAAAGCAACGCTTTTGTCTCAGTTTAAAAGCCAAAATTCACGTAGGTTGGCCAGATGTGATGAAAATTTACTTAGGAACACACAAAATTGAGTTAGACTTTCTAATGACTAAGTCCTCGACAAATGGAAAGAAACACTTGATAGATTCTGAAAATAGGTTTATAATATGAACAAATATTTGATTTGTAGCCTGCGTGATTAAAATTTTTTGCGAATCAAGAGTTCTTATCTATGTAACTTGTATTACTACTTGTATTATTACTTTTGAACATGAGTAGTTCGTTCAATCTCATGGGGTTTATAATTGTTGGCTAACATACTTTCAGTAATACAAGGTGGTTTCAACTGAGGGTAGAGGAAAATCTGAGTTAGAGCATAATTTCAACCAGCAGTGGCTGACATGAAGCTGGAGGAAGAAGAGCAGTTATAGTTATGTAGATTAGTAGGTATAGATACGCTGCGGTTTGGAATCTATCAGAAATCAAGTTTCATGTCATATTCAGACAATGGGTTGAGTTAATCAACCTTAAGGCAATCGGTTATCAAATTATCAAAAAGAAGAACACCCATCGTTCGAAGTGAAGCGAAATTCACAGTGAATGTCTGACATACCATATTAGATTTGTTTATTTGACATAAAGGGCACAGTGATACAGTATTATTTACTTGATTACGTTTCGAGCATAAATTATTGCTCATAATCATATCAATGTGATATGATATGATATGATTATGAGCAATAATTTATGCTCGAAACGTAATCAAGTAAATAATACTGTATCACTGTGCGCTATATACAAATAAACAAATCTAATATGGAATTACATTCTACCACATTGCCCAAGTTTTCACTTATATTAATGTCTGATATAATTTTCTAAGAAGCATTCATCATAGACTGACTTCAGCTGCCAAACCATAGACAACCTAAGAGCACTGAACAGCTGCTTTAGTCACACTTGAATGAAACATCTGTCCAGTGCCTTCAAATTTTCAATGATTTCTCAACTGAAGTTGGTCAGTAATGAATACAATCTTGGTATTCATTCATCGCTTCAAACCCTGGAATGCTTCACAACCTACTTTATTTTATTTCAGTAGTCAAAATAAAATGGACAAATTAAAAGTATCATTCACTCCAAGGTTTCCTGACGAAGCCATTAAGGTGAAGTTGACATTCTCTATCACTTGAAATCTTGTAGTTATCACTAAAATCTTAGTCATGGTCTACAAACTAAGGTCACCTTGTTCGCATGCACTTCCAGCTATATAGGAAACCAGATTTATGTATCTAGATGAACAAAAGTAGACAATGCAGTTTAAGTGTTATTCTTTGTATTATCTCGTCGTTGATTGGATCGAATCAACTGGTCACTATTGACATATGGGCTTCTGCTCGGGGGCCTCGATACTACCTGTTTTAAGTGTACATATTATTGATGGACAGTGGCTGATAGTGGAATCCAGGACTCGAGTTTCGTTCTATTTAGGACTCTTCAGCTGTATGCAAAATACAAGCGATAAAACTGAAACTATAACCGATAGCACAAAAAGTGGTTATTCTGGCTCGGTGTTCTGGTGAATAACGTTCTGGCGTTTAAAGCGATCGGTCGCGAGTCTGAGTCTTGATGGCAACAACATCGCTCACTGGGAGGGAGATGCATCCACCCGACGAGTCCCAAATAGGACGAAATACGCATCCTGGATTTCACTGCTAGCCACTATCCATCATTACTGCACTTTATGGCATACTGACATAGTCGTCTTGGGAACATACTTGACGACAGCAGGTGAAAGAAAAATTAACATTTGAGGAGACAAAAGAATAAGAAACTAATAATGGAATCTATGATAAAAGATATACTGAATTAAGATTTCAATGATTTAGGGATTTCATATTTGGTGTTCATAAATCTATACTGGTGTAATTCATGATGCAGTAAAACTCCTATGATTTTCAACTTTTCATTCTGGATTAGTTGACAACAAACTATAAAAGCGCCTTGCACAGATAACATAATCTATGGAATGTACTGAAGATTGTGTGAGATTGATTCTGCTCGAAATACCATCCGTTAAATAATACTTTATTACTGCGTCCTATATCAAATAAACCAGTCTGGTATGGAATATCATTCTACTACAGTAAATAAATTCTGTTCCTATCAGTAGTTTCCACCTAATAATATGGTCACTGGTATATTTTATTATTCGATGAGATATTGTCGTCATTATTCGCAGTAAATAATCTTGTCCAGGTGGTTTCATTAGGGAAACTCTGTTTATAGTTTACTTTGGGTAGCTCTTAAATCTTCTTATCTGTGTGAAATATAATCGCTAAACATGAAGCCATTAAATAGTTTGCACACAGATCTTGCATTTACTACTATTTAAATGCCTTCAGCCAAATTAATCAGATTGGATTAACTTGTTCTGTTAAAATCTGTGAATTTGATTTATCCGATTTGATCATTGATTTAGTAAAGCACAGCATATCATAATTAATTCAATATTTCTAAGAACTTCTAACTCATATGTCTATAATATAACATTTCCGAATTGCTGCGAAATTCCATTTTATTGTGACAATAGTTCTAAATATAATCTTAATTACACAAGCTTTATTCTTCAGAAGTGATAAGGTTAAATTATGCTCACTTGACTGACCTATCAAAAACTGGTCTACTTAAGAATACCTTTCATCGTGAAGTGAAGTCATCTAGGAAACTATTGAAAAGAACAACTAAAAAACAGCACAATTAAAAGCTACTTTATTCTGGTTTAGAGCTATTCATTAATATTTTGTCAACAACGTTTTAGGATGGAAGTCAAAACTGTCACCAAACGCCAACATTTTTCAGTCGTTTTCACTTCTAGATACAGTATAACCGTCATCGAATGCCTGTAATTTCTTAATGATTCCTTAGTCAAGATGTTTGGTGAAAATTATCTTCAAAACTTTATTAAGAAGAGGACTTTTTTCAGGAGTTTACTGTCTACCAGAGCATGGTGTAGATAACCACTATCTATCCTGAGACTCTAACCTTTGATTAAAAGCACGTTATTCCACACTGTCTTGTCAACAAACATCATGTAGTAATTTCTGATCCAATGATCTGAATCCTCAAAGGATTGTTCAAACTGAATTGATGGAAATGATTTGTATCTCAGTAAGAGGATGATATTGGTTCAGTGTTCAAAGCTCAGAGAACACCAGATTATCAGCATTTTATCAGGTTCTACACTACTTTCAACACAATACAACACATTCTTCTCATCTAATGTAACTAACAAATAGTATTCTTTAACTTGTATAGTGTAATTTGTAGAGAAATTTATATTCAATGAATACAGTATTAATGATTTATGCGAAAGTTTTGTCGAGTCAAACAGTTTAGTAATGTGATGAATGAAAACAGAGAAAAATCGTATATACAAAACAAAGCTGTTTACTAGTGATCATTGAAAGAATATCTGTTTACATATAATCGGAAAGACAAAATTTTGACATTTGTAATAAAAAGCCCAATCGTTTATTCATTTCTACTTTTTAAGCTAAAATGCATAGGAATATTCCATATATCGAAAAAAGGTATGATAAATTTCATTGAAATATTTAAGATTTTGAAATTTTTTTTGACTCATATGTTTGATATTTAGATCCAGTTCTGAGTTCAAATTTCACTTAGAATACCATTATTCACCGAAATGTTGGCATATCCACCTAAAAACTTTTAAATAGGCGATAATAAACTACTTGGAGTCCTTTGATAGTGACCAGCACATCTTACGAGAACTTGTGATAATATGTAGTCATCCATTTAGTGAGAATGGATTATCATCAGTGTGATGTAGCATTATGACCAACGAGAAAGGAAAGTACACGCTTCGAATGGTATACAAGCATACTGTTGACCAATCTTCAAAGATCATAGCCAAGTTAGATTGCTTTTAGAATACCAAATTCTTGGATACTTTTTTCTGTGATCTACCTATCTCATTCAGATTAGTCAAAATGTTTACATTTTAAGTGGAGTATGCATACTTCTATTTAAACCATATAAGAATTATTGCATTAATCCCAAAAGTCCTCTTTTAAGTAATGGAAAGTAATCATAGTATCTGATTTAGAAATGCAGACTAAGGTTTCTTCAGTAAGAGTAGCACTCTTACACTAGTCATCCTCATCGCAACATCAGAAAGAAATGAAGTGACTGGGTTGAGTATCTGAATTCATAGTAGATGACTTCAAGGGGATATGTTGAAACTCAGAGGTCGGTATTTTGTTGTGGTTTCTTATTTAATTTGGAAACTATTGGTAGGAAGCGTAGTGCTACTTCCTGTGACTGAAGCAGTGGGTGTAGCAGGTTCAGATATCTAAAAGAATATCAGTTCCCTCAGAGTCACGAATTAACCTTTTTAACACATAGCAGCGAGTAAAGAAACTCTTGAGAAATACATATATTTCCCCAATCGTATTGTGTTCTCTGAGCT